CTTTTTTTTTTTTGTCTTTTTAAGACAGGGTCTTGCTATGAAGTTCAAGCTGGCCTAGAGCTCACTTTGTAGCCCAGGCTGGTCTCAGACTCGCAGTGATCCTCCTACTTCAGCCTCCCAGTCCTGGGATTACAGGCGAGTGCTGGGGATTACAGGCTGGGATTACAGGCGAGTGTTTAGATTATGGGTGTGCGCCACCACGCCCAGACTTGTATTTGTAAATACAGTGTAAATGATTTTGTTTTTGTTTTTTATTTTCCCTTTGAAGGCTTTTACCAATTGGATTTTTTGGGGGGTTTTTTGTTCGTTTGATTTGTTTTTCTCGTACCAGGAATGGAACTCACGACCTTGTGCTACCAATTGGTTTTGCCAATTTATAATTCTCTTAGGGAAATGCTGGTATGTGTTAGTTTTTTGCATTTGAATTCCTTTTTAAATGTGTTAGCCTTACTATATTTGTACTTCTAAAGAAAGAAACATTTTATTCATCTGTTGAAGTGGCATTAGAGAGTTTAGGTCATCATAAGGAAACAGCTATGCACTGTTTTGCTGAAGTCTAGTCAAGAAATTTCATAACTTTTTCCTCTCAGTATTCGTGTAAATAATACTCTACTCCATAATAGCCAAATTTGTTCCACACAAATGAATTACTTATTTCACACAAATAAATTAATTTAAATATCTTTGAAGTATTTTTGTTAACCTCATATAAAATCTTTTTTTTCCTTTTTTCTTTTTTGTCTTTTTGAGACAGGGTCTTGCTATGCAGTTCAGGCTGGCCTTGAGCTCACTTTGTAGCCCAGGCTGGCCTTGAACTCGCATGGATCCTCCTGCCTCCGCCTCCTGAGTGCTGGGATTACAGGTGTGTGCCACCACACCCAGCCTTCATTTTTTAAAGTTAGAGAGTTTTGGTTATCTGACCTTTCAATCTTTTATTCAGTAGAAACAAAATCTATGTCCTGGGCATGATAAAGTGATATTTTGAGTTATCAGCGTCTTTTTTTTGTTGTCTACCTGTAGTGGTTGGTTGATTGTGTCAACTTGAGAAGTTTAGAAGTTTAACTAAATTTGGCTCAGCGATTGTCTCAGCAATTCTACACCCTAGGGTATAGAGGAGCCACCCTAGGGTAGATCATCACCTAGATGATACAGTAGGTAAGCAAGGAAGGACAGAGGGCTTCCATTCTTTGGAGGAGCTCCAGTCTTCGCCTTCTGCTTAGACATCATCTCCTGGCTTCTAGTGCAGACTCTTTGTCTTCTGCCTTGGATCATTCAGCCTTCTAGTGTAGACCCATCAGTGTTTTGTCCCAGACCCGTCTGCCTCTTAATATGGACTTGCACAGAATGCTGCAGTGAACTCCAGATCCTGGACTGATTTCTTTGGTCTGCAGTGTACAGACACCCTCTACAAGCTTCCTCATCCAACTCTACCTGACCATCATAAGCCAATCTTGTCATTTCTTATACATTTGTGTATCTGTTACATCTGTTTCTCTAGTAAAACCCTGACTGATACACTCACTACCTGATAACACAGAAATGTAATCAAGTCTGGCTCATCTCTAATGAATAACTACTTAGCAGTAGGAAGAATGTGTTTCCAAAGTTAAATAAGAATTTTAAGCACATACACCTTTTCTCTTTTATATTGTAACATTTTGAATATCAGTAACAGTAGGGACTGGGATATATGTACTTGATAAATGCTGACATTCTTTCCTCGCTCTGAGTTATCTTTCTATTGTAGAAACTGCCCAAATTCTTATAAGTTTCATATTCACTTTAACTTACTATATAAATACATACTTATGCCGGGCGTGGTGGCTCATGCCTGTAATCCCAGCACTCGGAGACTGAGGCAGAAGGATCCTTGAGTTTGAGACCAGCCTTTGCTACATAGTGAACTCAAGGCCAGCCTGAACTGCATAGCAAGACCTTATCTCAAAAAGACAAAAAAAAAAAAAAAAAAGCATACTTACTATATTAAAATAGTATATTTAAGTGACTTTTGAGTGTTGCAGCCAAGATACAATTTGCCTTGTCTTATTTTTTGGCTTCTTAAACTTGACCTCCTGTGGTCACACAATCTTTGATAATCCCAAAAGTATAGGCATTGTGCTTCAATAAGACTTTTTTTTTAGTGGAGCATCCCTTTTAAGATTTGGGAGAGGGGCTGGGGATTTAGCTCAGCAGCACAGCGCCTGCCTGGCAAGTGCGAGGCCGTGAGTGAGTCCCAGTACTGGAAAAACAAACAAACAAACAAAGATTTAGAGGGGGGAAAAATTTTTATTTAAAATTAGTACACTAATATTTTGGAGAAGAATGTATGGTTTATATGAATTTTTGATGTTCACCTAGAACCCTCAAACTGCTGGGTGTGTGTGGGGGCGCATGCCTGTAATCCCAGCACTCAGGAGGCTGAGGCAGGAGGATTGTTGCAAGTTCAAGGCCAGCCTGAACTGCATAGCGAGACCCTGTCTCAAAAAAGACAAAAAAAAGAAAACAAAATAGAACCCTCAAACTGTGAGCCCCTTGAGGAAGGTACCACCTGCCATGCATCCATCCATACAAGTCCATATCTCATATATGGACTTTGTAGGCTATATTTTCATAAAAGCTTGAGGTATTCAAACCCCCCAGTTCAGTGGTGCACTTCTGGTCAGCCTATTTTTGTGCCAGATACAAGGGCAAAACACAATAAATTCAGCCTCTGCCAACTTTATGCCTATATTAATTCTGACTGTGGGAGAAAGTTAATATTTTTGGGGTGTGAAAAATGATGGATGCCTTACATTTAAAGTAGTCAATCCTCACAATAAACCTATGAGCCAAATATTCTTCCCATTTGGCACGTCCAAACAGTGCAGCTTACTGATTAATTTACCAAAAATGTAATTGGCAGAGATGGGATTTAAACTCGAGTCTTGATACTCATGCACTTTTTATTATGCCATTACCTTCTTCCCAGGCGTTATCTGTGGTCATTTTAATTCTGAATTGTAATATAGCTTACTGTCAAATGGTATGTCATGTTGGCAGGTAATAGTCACAGATACTGATGGTTTGACCTTGAGCAGATCATTTCACTTCTGGATACTGATAACTTGAATGCCAGAATTAGAATATTGGAGTAGATGATCTCTGCAATTCTTTAGGGCTTTGGAAGACCTTAGGATCCTAAGAGGATCTTGTAAAAGGTTCACCACTTTGTCCTTAACCCTGCAGCTATTTGCTTATTGAGTACATTGTTTCTTAAATGAACTGGAATTTTTCTTTCAAAGAATTTCACATTTTGGCTAGGCATGATAGTACCTACCTGGAATCCCAGCACTTGAGAGGCTGAGGCTGGAGGATCAGTGGGAGTTAGAAGCCAGCTTGGGTTACGTAATGAGTTCAAGACCAACCTGAACTATACAGGGAGGTCTTGTCTCAAAAACAAAAGAAAAAGAGAAAGGAATTTCAGATGTACAGGTTTTCTTTTTTTTATTTATTTTTTTTTTTGGTTTTTCTCCGGTACCGGGAACCGAACTCATGACCTTGCATTTGCCAGGCAGGCGCTTTGCCGCTGAGCTAAATCCCCAACCCAGATGTACAGGTTTATAATTTTAAGTCATAATCACTTTAAAATTAAGAATTTAGGCTGGGCATGGTGGCACACGCCTGTAATCCCAGCACTCCGGAGGCTGAGGCAGGAGGATCACTCTGTGTTCAAGACCATCCTGGACTACACAAGGAGCTCAAGGCTAGCCTGAACTGCATAGCAAGACCCTGTCTCAAAAAGACCAAAAAAAAAAAAAGAATTTAGTGAATGCTGCCATCTTGTGTCTGCCATGTTATGAGAGAAGAGGTTAAAAGAGAAAATTCATGTTGTAGAATTTTTTTCTGTTCTGGTTTGACTTTGGTTTAATTTTAAGAAAATAATCATTTGTTTTAGAGGCTAAGGGAGCTTGCTCAGATAGAGAGGAGGCAATGTCATCTTTTTAAAATGCAGACATTTGTTAATGATACTGTTTTTATCCCTTAATAAAATTAAGGAAATCAGGATGTGAAAACTAATGTGAAGGTGTATCAGGGTTCTAAATGATTGTATTTCAAAATAGATTGTGAAGGTTGGTGTAAGATGTAACTCATTGCATGATGTATTTATGGCTGTAATAGTATTAGATCTCGTGATACTTAGATTGTGATTATGCTCAGTTCGTTCAGCTTAAATTGTACTATTCTTTCTTGACAACAGAGTTGTCAAAGGAAGATAGAAGACATGTTCTTTTGAAGTTGTTTGTTTGCTGTGAGCTTTTCACTTGCACCAAATAAATACAAATTGAAACTGAATTTAAAAATATGACATGAAGAGGATTTTGGCATTGATTTTTCAGGTATCATTAAAAAACAGTCATCCCAGGGCCAGCGTGTCACATATGTTAGAGACCCTTCATTCATTCCCTGGCACAAAAACAAAATAAGAGAGTCACTTTATCCTTTATTTCTTTCTTTCCAAAGACTGGGTTTCTTTGAAAATGCTAAATGGCTCATTATAGGCTTTTGTTCTTTAGTTTTTCTAAGCCTCTAGGGTGTGATTTTTCACAATTTCAGTCTTAAATTCATAGTTACAGCTCTGGGGGGGGTAAAACTATAAAAATTATAATTCTCAGAGTTACAGTGTTTCTGGTTGTGACCTCAGGCAGATCTTTTTTGTTTTGTTGTGTTTTTTTCCTTGTCTATAAACTGGAGCTGCTGTATCTCTTAAATACTGACTACATTGCAGGTTCTCATTTTTTAATTCTCTTTTCTGTCTTCTGCCTTTTGGTCCACTGTCAGTACTGCCTTAGCTCATACAATTAACATGGTGTCAAAATTAGTTGGAAATAAGTATTGTGACTCTCGTTTAGGAAAAGAAAATAATAAAACTGCGGACAGTATTTTTTATTTGTAAATTACTGTGGATTGTTCCATTTTCCTTGCCTATTTTCTTAAACTGCCTTCTTCTGTTTTAATTTTAGGCCGCTGAAAAATATGATATATTTGGTCAAAGGCAGTTCATTTCAGTCCAGGAATCTACAGTGGTGACAAGGACATGGGACTCCTCCTGCCAGATTACAGATGGTTCAATACAATTGACATCCTGGCTGACAGCTGTGGGAAGGAACCTTGGGTTATTTTATTTTATTTTTGTGGAACACCACAATCCCAAATCAATAGGACACATCAGGTAATACTCTCCTATCCCCTCAGAAAAACACATTCCTTTTTCTTCTAAAATCTTATGTATAAAAAGCAAGGAGCCAGAGTACTTTCAGTAACGTCTCTTCCCTCTCTGTACTTTGCAGGTTTACTGATTTCAGAATGAAACAATTAACTTTGGGTGTGGGATAGAATTAAGGATGATATTTTTGTTTTGTTTTGTTTTTTTGTTTTGAAATGAAGGCTATGTTGTTTAGACTGATCTCATGATTTTCCTGCCTCAGTCTCCTGAGTACTAGGACAACAGATCACATCCAGCCTGAGGGACATGGTGTTTATTTATTCATTTGTTTTTGAGACAGGGTCTTGCTATGCCGTTCAGGCTGGCCTCAAACTCGAACTGTGATTTTCCTGCCTCAGTCTCCTGAGTACTAGGACAACAGATCACATCCAGCCTAAGGGGCATGGTGTTTATTTGTTCATTTGTTTTTGAGACAGGGTCTTGCTATGCAGTTCAGGCTGGCCTCAAACTCATGGCAGTCCTCCTGCCTCAGCCTCCTGAGTGCTTGGATTACAGGCCACCACACGCAGCAGGAACATGTGACTTTGCTACACAGGTCTCACTGAGTTGCTTAGGCTCCAGGCTCGCCTCTAACTTGAATCCTTCTGCCTAAGCCTCCAAGTAACTAGAATTACAGGTATGTGCCACTGTGTCTGGCTGCCTGTAATTTTAGAACTAGTTTTTCTTTGAATCTTAAAAAGCTTTTTCAGATGTATTTATGGATTCTTAAAATATATTTACATGTTGTAAATTTGTCTTTCATTAAAAAAATTCTTGAATTCAAATATGTAGCGAAAAGGGATAGGTTGTACCAGTTTTTTCCGTCAAGATTGTATAGTGGTGCGTGCATACCCATGTTTATAGCAGCACAACCCAGAAAAGCTAAATCTTGGAAATAACCTATGTCTGTCTGTCGACACATGAATTGATAAAGTAAATGTATTTATACACAATGAAGTACAACACTACCAGAGAAAAGGACAAATTTGAGTCATTTGGACGAAAATAGATGCACCTTGAGTTCATAGTGTTAAGTGAAATAAACTAGCTTAAATATCACGTGGTTTCTCTTATATGAGAAACCCAATGTGTAAGTAATTTAAGGAGCAAAATAAAAGATGATAGGAAAAATGAAGAGAAATGTTTTATAAATGGGAAGAGAGTATCTAGATGGAGACAAGGGACATGGAAGGAAAGGAGAAATAAGAAGAATTAAGATGTGGTATGTCCAAGTACTACCTTCTCATGATGAATATGAACGTATACTATTAAAAATTCTCCAGGCCAGGAATATAGTTAAGTGGCACAGCGCCTGCTCGGCAGACGTGAGGTCCTGAGTTTGATCACCAGTCCTCCCCACCAATAAAGTTCCCTTAAAGGCTTAATTACGAAGAATTTCAAAAGTACGGAAAAGTTGGAAGAATTTTACAGTGAATACTCTATATAGCCACTCTTCATTTTAGCATACCTGGTTTAACCTATTTCCATCTGTCCCTCTATCTGTCCTTTGATTTTAATTTTTTGATTCATTTTAGAATAAATTGTTTATCTCAAGTTTTGCTGGTTTTGGTATTCGTGGGTCCTAAAAGAACAGCTATCTTTAGACTTAATATCTGGTACATTCCTATTTGGTATATATTGTGAAGTTCCTAGTGTTTTGTTTCTTTTTTTACCTTCCTAATGACATGAAATGTATCGCCATCTGAATTTTATTACTCATGGATTCCATTCTCTGGAATGTCTAGCACATGTTTGACATTGAATCATACAGATCAGGAGAGTTCTCAATGCTTTGTTCACATTATTGGACACAGTTGTTAACCCAGACTAATAGGTATGTTGTATAGAATGATGCTTTTTATTTTTTAAAGTATTTCAGAATTCAGGGTAATGTAAGAAATTGTTGGTTTTTTGAGACAAGAGTCTCACTATGTAGTCCCCACCAGCCTCAAATTCAGTATGATCCTGCCGCCTCAGTCTCACGAGTGCTGGGATTACAGGCGTGCACCACCATGCCTGCCTTGATCTGATTCATTTCTTAAAACCTTTCACAAGTAATAAAATCAAAATCTTGTGTCTTTTATTAAGGCTCTTATTGTGATTTTTTTTTTAAGTGTGTCTACCACAGAAGAGTATAATCCTTGAAAGCAGGAATTTTGTTTCTCTGAGTACATTCAACATTATTTCTGTAGTATAGAAAGCACAGAGTTAATATTGTACATTAAGTGAATATAAAATGCTTCAAAGTGAACTAAAATTTCCTTTATTTCTTGCTAAGGCTTCAAGTTCCCTGTAGAATTCTGAAGTAACCTTTGCTAATGAGGATGTCTGATACTATTGCTATAAAAGATGAAACTGAAACAATGAAGGATTTGGAGACAGGAATGAAAGATACAACCACAGTTGAAAATCTTATCAAATCAGAAAACTATGGAAAGATTTTGGCAGAAAAGAATGAACGCTATATTGACAACAATATTGATTTGCAGGTAAACAGGATTTTCTCTGCAGCTACAAATACCCAATATTTAACATACTGTTATGTTGCTTTTTATATAAAAGTCATTTTGCTAAATTCTAAGAAGTTAACTGAATGTTTGGGACATGTTTATCAGCTAGTCTTTTAGTCATCTGGATTAGCTTGCTGAGTGCTAGCAAGTGATTTGCTTGTGTCATAATATATTTCCTTTTTTTTGTTTTTTAGGTTTGTTAGTTTTTGGTATGCAAACAGTGTGTTTTTATTGGCTTTCTACTTTTTCATTCCACACTCCTGCTAACTACCAGTGTTGGGAAAGTTCAGAATTTAACCTAAGAATTCTTACAGGAAAGACAGAGAGATTGAACTGCAAAAGATCTGTGGATAAAAATAGCCCTCTGGGGACTTCTCAGTCAGTCAGCCATAATTAAGTAGAGAGGTTGTTGGGGAAATATCATTTGATGTGATGGGGTACATATATGATGACTTGAAACTAACCATTGAGGAGGATTTTAATTCCAAACATAAATGGAAATTGAATTGTCCAGTAGATTCAAGTCAAGTAAAAAGGGTTGCCAGTAGTATTTCAGGGGCTGGGAATATAGCTCAGCAGGCAGAAGCACCTGCCTGGCAAGCATAAGGTCCTCAGTTGAATTCCCAGTAAAAAAAAAAAAGTAATATTTCAGTTATTCATCTTGTCTTTTGTAAGAGTGTAGTTATTATCTCAAAATGAAAGGCTAACACTTCTAAAACACTTTTTAAAAAATTATTTGTGGGTCACGAAGTGGAACATGGCATGGATGAGTGAATTTTCTATTCTACAAGGTATCCGAAGCTATTACTTGCTGATATTTAACTGGCAGGTGCACTGGGCTGGAGGATGCAGAACCGCTTCCGTCACGTGTCTGGCGCCTTGGTTGAAGTGGGTGGATTCGGGTGGATCTAGGAACACCTCTTCTTCACTCGTTTCTTCATAAACTTTGTTTATGCTGTTATGTGCTAGATGCCATGTGAGACAGAGATGGTGATGCCTTTAGCTATAAAAAAAAAAGCATTTGCACCCTGATTAAGTATAGTGAAGTGGTAATTATCTAAAAAATTAGGAGAAATAACACATTTTTTCAGTCATTTCAGTAATAGCACCTTTTTAAAAATTTATTTTAAAAATAAAAGAAGGAAAACATTAACAGACATCCATTTACAAAATAGCATAAGAACAATACAGACAATACAGAGTTACAGACAAAGTGGTAGGAAATTAACAGTGGCTGTTGTGTTACGTATTGATATCTTCAGGTGGTTTCTCAGGTAAACAAATACAGACGTGGAAGATTGATCAAATAAGTAATCATTAACTGTTCCTTTCAGTAAAGCAATAGAAGTCAGTAGTACAACTATGTTAGCTATCCTGTATATATATACATACCTAATTTCCCCTTCTTTCTTTTCTCTTTTCCCTCACCCCAGTTGCTCTTTTCTTTTGAGCATTTTCTTTTCTTTTCACAATGTCTATTATACCTCCTAATTTTTATTCACTCTTTCAGATTCTTACACTAGTGAGACAATACGTTGCTTTTACACATGGAGGTCTGGTTTATTTCACTTATGAGTATGGTCTCTAGTTGTGACCATTTACCTGTAAAAGCCTTGAGTTTATCTTTCTTTATAGCTTAGTAATATTTCATTATATAAAAGTACCACAGTTTTTTATCCATTCCTCAGTGGATGGACATTTGGGTTGCTTCCACAGTTTAGCAATTACGAATTGCTCTGCTATGAACATGGGTGCACATATATTGCTGTGATATGATGTTTTCAGATCTTCTGGGAAAATACCCAGAAGGGGAATAGCTGGGTTGAATGGGACCTGTAGACCTAGCTTGCTGAGGAACCTCCAGAGTGATTTCCACAGTGGTTTCACCAGTCTGCATTCCCACCAGCAGTGGAGAAGGGTTCCTATTTCTCCAGTCTCGCCAGCATTTGTTATTGGTTGATTTCTTAATGCTAGCCATTCTTACTGGTGTAAGATGAAATCTCAATGTTGTTTTAATGTGCATTTCTCGAATGACTAATGATGTTGAACGTTTTCTCATGTATTTATTTGCCATTTGTATTTCTTTATCTGAGAAATGTGTATTCATCTCAGCTGCCCATTTTTGGATTGGGTCTTTGAATTTGGGGGAGCTGATGTTTTTTAATTCTTTGTATGTTCTAGATAGAAGACCTTTGTCCAAGGGACAGTCAGCTAAAATTTTTTCTCAATTTGTGGGTTTTCTTTTTACTATGATGGTGATTTCTTTAGATGGGCAGAAACTTTTCAGTAGGATGAGATCCCAGTTGTTTATTCTTTGAAATATTTCACGTGCGGTTTGGTTTTTGTTCAAGAGCTGTCTGCTTACACCTATGTCTTCAAGATTTTTACCTACTTTCTCTTCCAACAGATTTAGTGTTTCTGTTTTAATATTGAGATCTGTGATCCATTTTGACTTGAATTTGGTCCGTAGTGATAGACTTGGGTCTATTTTCAGTCTTTGGCAGGTGGCAAGCCAATTTTTCCAGCACCATTTATTAAAGAGGCTATCATTCTTCCAGTGAGTTTGTTTGGCCCCTTTGTCAAAGATTAGGTGGCTGAGTGTATTTGTGATTGTGTGTGTCTTCCAGTCTGTTTCATTGATCTTCCATTGATCACTTTGCCAAAAAAATTGCCGTAGCTGTAATCAGTACTCATGAATGGCAGCGTGCCAGTTTCTCTTCCTGCATTAGAGAAAGCTGTAAAATTCTATTGCATTTTTTTAATTAAAAAATAAGATGTTTTATTTTAGTCTCTTTTCTATATGTCATGTACATTTACCTAGAGCATGCTTATCACCAAATGATTAACTTCTGTTATTCTGTTCCCTGCCATCTGTTTTGTAGCCCATAGCAATAAGTGCAGGAATATTCTAATGACCACTGTCTTAATCACGACTCCATTGTTTGTACAATCGGAAAATTTCATATGTCCAAAACTTTTTTTTCAGTGTTGGGGATTGATCCCAGGGCCTCACACATATGAGGCAAGTGCTGTACCACTGAGCTACACCTCCAGCCTAACATTTATTGACAACCTATTCTGTGCCAAGGAAATACCATAGTAAGCAAAGACAGGAGTGGTTTTTTGACTTTGTGATCCATGTAGCATCTAAAGATTGGAAAGAAGGAAAGTTATATACAACAATTTAGTTTTTATTCTACAGGATGATATATTCACTGTTTGCTTTTTTTTTTTATTTGAGCTTTTTGAGGTCTTAGATGCCTGCATCAAGCCTGTAGTTTGTTTTTAAAAAAAAAAAAAAACCTGTAGTAATTTCATTGTAGTAATTTTAGCTGATTATCATAGTAACTTATGCAGAAAACATTTATGTAATAGAAATTGGGAACAAAAGTCAATAAAACTAGAAAGTAATTTCTCCTATGTTTTCATTTAAAATAACGTAAAAATCATTATATATAATATATAGGTTATATATTAGCAAAGATTAGTGTGTTGTTTAAAAGTCTGTTTATTATAGTGTTACTTTTTAAGCTTAATGTGAAGATAGCTGTTCTAACATACTAGTTAACATTTCATCTTACTTTGGTACCCCTAATTACTAATTAAAGGTTGTATATGTTATATGGGAATAATTCAGACAAAGTCCCCCCCCAACTGTATGTTACCATTAGAATGAGCAATCTGAATTGTGTTTGTAGTAACCCTGGCTGTAAAGGAAATAGAGCTAATTTTCCTTAACAACTAGGCCTTAGTTCAAGAGTGAATCATTCGCTTCTAATGTATATGAATCAGTTAAAGTTGATGTTTATTCTGTTTCTCTAACAAACCTTTTAGTAATTAAGATGACAATCTTACATCCACCAGATTAACTTTTAAATACATTCTTTAAAGGGGGATGGAGAGCAAGATAAAGATAAGAGATAAGACAGCAATACCAGTACCAATTTTAGCAGGCTGTCAGAAAAACTCAGGGCATAAGAACATACTTCTTCAGCCATTCGTGAGGTGGAATGGGCATTAAATTCCTTAATTGATGAAAGAAACATGCTAACATGTTTCTTTTAAAAGGATGTTTGACCTAAACTGTGAAATTTCAATGGAGTAATTCTAGGTTGTTAGTCGTATTTATATGTTGTACTTTGTCTTACATTAATGAGTTCAATTTTCTAAAATTTAGAATTCAGTTCTCATAGTACACTTATGTTTTTAAAAATATTTCTAGGATCTGCCACTCTTTCTATTTAACTTGATCACATACACATGATAGTACTTATAAGCATGTTTGCTTTTCATAGTGCTTTACTGACATATATAAAGATATTCATACATTGTGGAGACATAGAAATGCTGTTACATACTGTTTTTGTACTTTGATGATTTTCATGTATATCACCAATAAGATGGGAAACTGAAGGGTCTGTGACTTTTAAGGAGGGCCTAAGACCTAGGCCTGTGGATTTTAAGCCTCTGTCTATGGCCCAAAAGGTTAAGTGATAAAAGCAAACTAGTGCAGTGGTGGTGAGCCTATGGCATGCATGTTGTTTTTCACTTAAAACAAAACATATTAATATGAGTTGTTTTTTCTAACGCAAAACCTCAGTATTTAGGTTTAATTGCAGTGTTGACAGTTGGCAATAAATAAGTGGGTTTTGAGTTGCAGTTTGAGCACTTGTCTCTAAAACCATCACTTAATTAGTGATTGTGCTTAGTTTGCTACCTTTTTTTTAAAAGCGTTAAGCGGTAACCAATTTTATTAGAAAAAAATAAAAGTGGGCTGGATGTGGTGGCGCACACTTGTAATCTCAGGGAGGCTGAGGCAGGAGGATTGTTGCAAGTTTGAGACCAGTCTAGGCTACAAACTGAGCTCAAGGCCAACCTGAACCGCATAGTGAGACCCTATCTCAAAAAGGCAGAAAAACCCAAAACAAAACAAGGTCAGCCTGGGCTACAAAGTGAGTTCAAGGCCAGCCTGAACTGCATTGTGAAACCCTTTCTCAGAATGACAAGAAAAGAAGTAAAAGTCTTCGGAGAAAGTGGCTTTGCAGAGCAAGCTTGGGCCGAGGAAAAAGATAAAGTACACCTTGGAGAGTACGGGGCCAGCTATCACGAGGAAATCTTATTTTTTTGAATTAGCTCTGTTGAATCGGAAACTTAGTTTTGTTATTTCAGTAGAAACTAGCAGCCTGGCATCTACTGTTTTTACTGCCCCTGACCTTTAGCTAGACACTTAACTCATAATCTTCCATATAATTACCATCAATCCTTACTAGAACAATATTGATAATTAATAAGCTCTTCAAGGTATACAAAATCCCAAGTTGAAAAGCTTCGACTTATTTTGTTCATAATTATTAACTGCAAATGAAAAATAACTTGATTTTTTAAATAAGACATATTCTCTCTAAATGGAGGGTTATTTGGCAGTTATTTGTACATTATCACATTGTATAACCCATGATGGTGACTCTGATCTTAGTTTTTTACCAGACTGTAGTAGCTGGTGACTCTGACAGTGTGTTCTATTAAACTAGTATTCTAATAAAAATATTTCACATTCTGCACCCATTTGTTGCCCTAGTTGTCCTGTGCTTCATTATAGAACAGTGTCAATTATAAATAATTGCCCCCTACATTTGCCCCCTAGGTTTTTTACATTCTCATTTAATTAGCATTTCCATTAGTAAAGGTCTCTTAAACAAGTTGCTACATTTTTACTGTGTTGAAGTTCTGCTAAAGGCTAAGAAAGTGTGCCCCAAATAAATAAAATCCATCTTTAATACATTTGTATGTCAGAGTGGGAGAATTCCTATTTTAAAGCCGATTCTGGTTACCAAACTGGTAATACAAGTATGGAATAAAGGATAATTTCATAAACAGACTTGTTTTCCTCTGCTTTATTGTTGCTTAGGCATATGGCAGATTTTCTAGGATATATTTTTTCTAGTATATATTATATAAATTCTGTTCTTTGCTGTTTCAAAGGAAATAATCAGTAATTGTACTGAATTAGCAGTTTATAGTTTACCACATTAGCAGTTTATAGTTTACCACATTAGCAGTTTATAGTTTACTTAACTAGTCATATATTTTCTCTTACTGTGCAAGAAATTACCATCAATTTAGAAGGTTAAAAACCACACCTGTTTCAGTTCACAGTGGACTCGGCTGTGTTTCTCTGCTTAGGGTTTTATAAGGCCAAATCAAAGCTGTTAGACAGGCTGAGCCCTTTTCTGAAGAATCTGGGGAAGAATTTGCTTTAAAGCTTATTCTGATTGTTTGAAACCCTCCGTTTCTTGCAGCGATTGGTCTTAGATCCATGTTTCAAACTGGCTGTCCAGTTCTGCTTCTAAAGGTTGCCTGCAGACCTCCAGAGGCCTCTCTGTCTTCAAAGCCAACGCTGACGTGAATCTTTTGAATCTGGCTTGCCTTTGGCTCCTAACCAGAGAAAACTCTCAGCCTTTAAAGGGCTCACATGAGTGGGTCAGACTCATCCAAGTCTTAAATTAATGTCTGTGGTCAGTTTATTTGGGCTTAGTTATTTCTGTAAAAAATGCTAAGTACTGTTGTGTGTTCCCTACACAGCAGTACTTAGCATTTGATTAAGTAGCAAGAGGATAGGAGTTTTTCAAGCTATCATTAGAAGTCTGTCTACCACACATGTATGTAATCTACAATAAAAAGGGCTTTTATAAGTGTCGTGTAATGTTTACTGCACCAAGATTCTGAGCCCCTGACTTCTGTTTAGCTATGTAGAAGCTCTGATTCTGGACTGCGAGGTCTTTGAGACAAGGAACTATGTACGTCTTACTCATTCTTCGTATCCTTGGTGCCTAGCAAAGTGTGTGGTGTGTAGTAGGAAGTCAAAACATACTAGTTAAATGAAGTCCAGTTAAGACAATTCTGTGTCTCTTGTCTTTGCTCATCTGTCTTCATCTTCACCAAAACTTACTTGGTTAATGCATATATAAGTTTATAAATATTCTAAGATATTTTTGTGGGAACAGTATACAACACCATCTTCGTTTTACAGGTTATAAAGTTACCATCTACTATATTAACTTTATTTATCTTCATTTTTCTCTTAATTTATCTTCATTTATCTTCATTTTTCATGGCTAGTAACCCAGCAGTAGGACATTGATTTTCTAACATCTATTATTTAATGGTTTACAAAGCCTCCTTTTTTTTTTTATAATCCAGCCATTCATTGAGTCATTTCAAGAACACTGTGAATTAGTACAAATAATATCAACTTTTATACAGATAAGAGTAAACAATTTGATAAGGGTCACCTACTAATAAGCAGCCAGAAATTTTAACTTTTTCTGCATGAGTACAGTGTTTTGCCAATTATTTTATTTCAGACCTGTTTAGTAGGTGTTAGTCTATTGATTCTTAAAATTTTAAGGGATGAAAGCAGAGGACAAAAGTAAGTCACAAATTGTTTCTGCTTCCTTGGAATTCATCTAGTCATGTGCATTTTCCTAGTATTTGTTATTTTTCTCCCATTTTTTTTTTTTCTTTTAAAACTTGGCTCTATGGTAACATAACTTCTTTTACTTCTATAGTTTGTTTTTTTTTTTGGTACCAGGAATCAAACTCAGGACCTTGTGCTTGCCAGGCAGGTGCTTGTGCCACTGAACTATATCCCCAGCCCCAACTTGTGAGTTACATGCAGTTAGAAATCCTCTTCAGCCGAGCGTGGTGGCACACACCTGTAATCCCAGCACTTGGGAGGCTGAGGCAGGAGGATGGTTGCGAGTTCAAGACCAGCCTGGGCTACAAAGTGAGTTCAAGGCCAGCCTGAACTGCATAACGAGACCCTGTCTCAAAAGGACAAAAACAAAACAAAAAAATCCTCTTCACCAAATTAAATAAGAGCACGTAGGAACAAAAGGCAGTACCAACATGCAGATGATGCCCTCCAAGGCAGCACTGCCGTGTGTACCTCTGTGCACATATATGCATGTACTGTGTATGTACCATTTCTTCTCTAAGAAAGTCATTTTTTTCTTTCTCCTGTTTTCCTTTCATCATTTTCATTGTTGATTGGGTGATCCAGGGTAAAAATCCTAATGCCTAATGCCATGCTTCTTATCTTTAAAGATCTTTGGACTCTTAAAGAGAGACATAACTTCATGGTACTATAGATTGTCATTTCTGTTGGCTCTAGACAGAAGGCTTTTCTGGACGTTAGACTAAAATAGTAACACTTTTGTTTCTTTTTATCTGCAAAGCCTACTGGTCTGAGTATTAAAAATTTCTGTCTGTTTTGTGTCATTACCAAATCAGTTCGTGGTGTCAGTGAATATAAAGGGTAGCTCTCTGGACCGTATGCTGTTTGGGTTCGAGTTTGGAGTGGTAGATTGGAAGGAGGTAAGAGTATTTAAAATCTTACCTGATTTTGATTCACAGGCACTTTGACTGGTTTCCCAAACCAAAGCCTGGAATCCAAATAGAAAGCTAGTCGCCTCCGTGGTTTCCTTAGTTGTATGACAGATCTGTCATGTTAACCATCTGTATTGGAAATATACCCTGTCCTTCACTGGCAGTCACCTAACCCAAGACCTGCCAAGTAGTATTCTGTCACTAATAAACCAGTGGTGTACTTCATACAGTGCCAGAAAAGCTCAGTAGATGTGTGGTTGGATTCTCTTTGTGCATTTGAAACAATCTCCCTAAGAAGGTGGAATTTTTTTGAGCTTAGCAACTTCTTTTTCAGCAACTTTAAATTGCTGAGTTGTGTGTGGTTCTTTGCCCCTTAACCTTGGCTAAAGTATAATATATTATAAAATAGTGAAGAAGAGAAGTGTATTTTATTTTGCTATTAAGAAGCCACCCTATAAGTTCCATGGAGTTCAATTAGCACAGAATTTGCTGACTTTTAAAAAAGCCAACCTGCAGAAGGACTTCAGAGAATTTTCTACAAGTATACTTCTGGGAGGAATCAGTCAGTACTCTTTTCTCTGAAACCAGCTTTGATTTCCTCATTTTGCCTACCTTGTGCATAGTTTTTCCATAGTTTAGGCTTAAGAAGCAAGTCTTCTGTCTCAGTATGAAATTTAATACAAATCTTTCTTGTTGTGTATTCAGCGGCCACTGCAGTCATTTGGACAGACAGGAAAAAGGTCTAAGGTATAGTAAATATTTTGGTGTGCTGGCATGCCAAGGGCCGTCCTTCATGCTTGATGAATCCTTGTTTTCATATAGCACTACATTCAGTTTAGTTTTTTCATATTTTATTTGGGGCAAAAAGCTTTTTTTTTTTTTTTAATTTGGGGATTTTGTCTTGCCTAGTCGCTTTTGTGCATTGCTTTTTTTTATCTTTGATGGTTTTTTTATCTATAGAGAAAATTGCTTTTTACCATTCTTTGGTTTTTGAAGTTGGAATTATTCTCATTCTTGCTGTTGCTATAATTTTCCAAAGCTGCAATTTGTTTTCCCTCTTAACAAAGGATTTCACTGGTGTTTAATGATATATTTAACTTGTACATTTCATCTACTTCTATACATAGCAGAAACTTACAAAGAAATTTAGAAACTCTCTCCAGGGGGCTTTTGGATATGCCCTAGATTTATTAAATGTAGTGTTAATTATAAATACTTTTCTCTAGTCAAGCTCAAAGTTAAAGCTAGTTCGGAGCCTTGCAGTGTGTGAAGAATCTCCACCACCCCCTGCAGCAGAGATATCACAGGAGAAAAAAAAAAAAAAAAAAAAAAAGGAAAACAAAAACAAAACAAAAATCTTTATTTGAAGACATGGTAGGATTGGAGAAATCTTTTTGTGTGGTTAAATAAAAGTTGAGACTGTAAGTGTGTGTGTATGTTTTACTTTTGCTAAATGAAACTGATTTGGTAATACTTGCCACTAGTGAAAAGTTGAAAAACTGCTTCTAAGCTGTGATTTCTCTTTTGGAAAAACCTTGTGATCATGTAATTAATTGGAAATGCAGCTTTAAGAGAGTTATAAATTATTACTGAAAAGGTATAAAATATTAAAGTGATACTTCCAGTGAATGTAGTTATGAAATTTATCCTTAGCTTTGCGTTTTAGAAACTTGCCAGATACTGCTTCTGTATAAAGATACTGCTTAAGATTCCTGCTTGACACATTATTTTACTTAACCTGAGTGCATAGTAAAGCCAATTTTTATTTTAGTGTGGCTCTTTAATAGTTGTCTAATACCTTTAATTTCTCATCTATTCTTCTTAAATATAGAGCAGTGAGATTCAAGCAGTTAATTTGCCTCATCTATCTTGTTAATGCTGTAACTTCACTTTTGTATTAAGCTCAACTATAGAGTGATCTTTGTCTTATTTGAACTTCTGTGCAGAAATGTTTTAGATTTTTTTTTAGTTTATCACTGTGATAATTTGGGCTGTTAGTTGCTTGTTCTACTTTATAAGAGTTTAAGCAACATAAATTCACTGTATCCCAATGATTAGTTTCCAAAGAATTGAGGCAAATTTATTCAAGAGGCCATGTTATTTTTTGTTGTCTGTTTTGAAACAAGGTCTCCCTGTGTTGCCCAGGTAGGACTTGAACTCACAGTCCTCCTACCTCAGCTGCTCAAAGAAGCAGCTATGATTTTAAAAATGAGAATGCTTTTACAAATTGCACATCTTTTTTAAAAAGTTGTATATTTGATGTTTGAAGCAAAAATTTACTTTTAGATGATACTCTCAAATACTACAAATACCAAAGATGTATTGACATATATTTAGAGTATATCCTGCTCTTAGAAAGAAAGTACTATACTTTGTTTCTAAGATGCAAAGAAAAAGTTTTAAAATATGTAGATTATTTTTTGTTGATGAAAAGTTCTTAAAAACCTTTTTTCTTTGATACTTGTTTACGTGTCAAAATAGAGAATTCAAAATTCACTTGTGTTTTTTTTTTTTAAATATAGCTGCATAGGAAATAGCTCTACTGTTTGCTTGATAGAATATATTTTAGGAATAAAACAGCAAAGTTTCTAGCAAAAGGCAGAAATATGATCAAAATATTTTGCTAAGTACTACTGTATTGCTTGGAAAATATTTTCAGATGTAAGACTTTGGCTTTTGCATGGCTGTTGGTAAGTCTAAAGAGTTGATACACTCTGAAGGAGAACACCCAGTTTAAAAGTTCTTTTGTATAAGTGAGATTGAAAAATATGCCTACTCATGTTAGAGCAGTAGATAGCATAGTGTTTTTTGAAAATTCATTTCTTCCTTTTTTTAGAATTTGTTTTTTATTCTGTTAACCAAAACATTATACTGTACCATCTTGGCATCATGGCATAACAATCAAAAAAGAGAGGAAATGAGAACCCTTGGGCATTCTTAAGTGTGTTAACACAGGAGAAGTACACAATTTTTTAGAAAAATTGTATCATGAACTTTTTTTTTCAGTATATTTTACCATGTGTGAAAAATATTGGGGAAACATAGTATATAAATTCGGCAAGTAAAAATTCATCTGAGGAAAAAATTACTATAAGGAATGTATTCTGCAATTGTATACATCATTGATCCCAGAATTTTTGTATGTTATAGTTCAAAAAGAGGAGTTCCATTATTAGGGATAGTGAATAAAATGGTTATGTCAGAATTCACTTATGCCTCTTAATACATTGTCTCTCAGTTTCTCTTGGATACAATTCACTGTTTTCTTTTTGGATAATTTATTATCACCCCTTTGAATAAAAGATAACTTCTTTTCGTAGAAAGTTTTCTTCCAAGCCTTGGGTTAACTAAATTGCACCTGAATGGGAATAGGAAAATAAATAAAATGTACTAATATCTAATCTTTGATGATAGAGACACTTCCCATCTAATTTGCTTGATTCAGAATGTGATTTATGAGGAATTACTGTGAAATAAAATGCATCATAAAAAAGGTTGAGAGACAGTTAATTTTTTGACAATTAAAAGAAATATCACTTGTGTCTGATGAAGACTTAAGAGAGGGAAGTGACCTCAATAATAGATGTCAGTGACAGTGAGGAGTAAAGGAATTACAGCTTCCTGTGGAGATGTTCCAGTTATTTAGTTAGAAGAGTTTATGTGGAAGGATTTTAGCATTTAAAATGTGTTGTTTATTCACTGTTGAAAACAAGGCCAACTGAACACAACACCCCAGAGTATTAAGCTTGCTAGATTTTTAAAATGCAATTCATCCTGATAAAATAATATCTATAATTTAACATGTATGCCTTTGGGAGAACTTACAAATGAAACATGCTATTTATTAGAAGTACCTGTTAAGGAAGGTCCACGGTGGATAAAATCTTTTCTACCAACCTGTGTTTCACTGGGTTACCCTTGAGTAATGAAAAGAAGTTACAAGTCCAGAGATCTAACTGTCCTGCTTCTGAAAAATAGTTCCAGGATTCCTTTCCAAATACTTGTTTTGCAGTTATGGAAAGAATAAAGGAATGCGATAGAAATAAGTCAGAGTAACTTACTGATTACTGAGTGCGGTGAGGTCACCAGTGTCCTCAGTGAACAAGACAGAGGGGCATATAGCAAGTGTTCATCATGAGGACAACAATTGCCAATACATAGCATTTATCCCAGATTGAGCAAAAATTTGTATAGAGATGAAGTGGGAAAAAGAATTGAGAAGTTTAAAACAGCAGATAAGAATCCTGCTGTAGAAAAAATTAATTGAAATTCGGCTGAAGGTTATTTTTTTATTTATGGGCAAAAAGTGTGTAGAAATTCTGCCAACTTGAAGCTTGATGCAGAATTTTACATGCTTTCTGATACTAACATACTGCTTATACCACTACCACCATTTAGAAGATCTAAATAATGTTCTGAGGTTTTTTTATTTTTGTTTTTTGATCACTAAAAAACAAAGGTACGATTTAGTCTAAAAATGTGCTATACTGTAGTAGACGTGGTCTGGAATTTCTTCTAACTTTCTTTATAATTGTGCCTAAGTAAACAAAGCTCAATATGTTGTTTTTTAGGGTTTGGGGGATTTGTTTGGTAGACAGGGTCTCTCTATTAGTTCAGCCTGGAGTTGAACTCACTGTGTAGCCCAGGCTGGCCTGAAAAATCATGGCAATCCTCCTGCCTCAGCCTCCCAGTTGCTGGGATTACAAACATGGCACTGCATCCTATCCTCAACATGATTTTTTGCCTTTTAAAGCTATGCAGATTAATCCAGTAATCTTTTTGGGTTCTGAAACTGCATATGATAGCATTTTTTTTAAATGAAGTAATTCTCCATTTTAGCCTTATAGAATATGATCACTTTAAAATTCAACATTACATATCTGAAGAAATGCAGTTTTGTTTGGAATCTTCAAAACAACTTTGTGGTATTGAAGGAGGCACACTGCTACATGAATCTCAAATAGGAAATGTAGTCATATGCCTTTGATTTTTGCAATTTTTATACTGACATTTTCATATAGCAGGAGGCTAAAGGAAATATTTTCTTATAGTGGTTACTAAAAACCTAAATTTTATTGATTATTGACTTGACACTCATACAGCCCTATTGTCATGATTTTTTTTTTGTTGTTTTTTTTTTTGTTTTTTTTTTTTGTTTTTCTCCGGTACCGGGAACCAAACTCACGACCTTGCACTTGCCAGGCAGGCACTTTTGCCACTGAGCTAAATCCCCAGCCCCTATTGTCATGATTGATGATAATTATCATGCTTTTGCTTGGCACCTCTATTAAAAGTAGAATTACAAAGATCTTAGTTCTGACCTTCCAGGTATTTCACAAGTGCACCTAACCTATAATAGGAAACATTTGTTTTCTCAAATAATTTTGAGGGTATGTTTCAATTTATAGATTCAAATGAAAACATTATTTGAACATTGTTACACAAGACTTTAATAAAACTAATAAAATATTTTTGAGTTTTCTAGTTTGGAAAATATAACTGGGTAAAATAAAAATCTTTCTCTTCTTCCTCCATACATTTGTGTTACTGAGAAAATATAAATGTGTGGAACTAAATGAGTAATTTATATTTTCTTTGAATAACTTATTTTGCCTTCCAACAGGAAAGAATTCAGATCCAGTTAACACAATCATTTGAAAAAGACGAGAAGCCCTCAAAAGATGAAGCAGAAAAAGAAAGAGCCAGTGATAAGTTGCCCAGAAAAATGTTATCAAGAGGTTTGCTATTTATTTTTGTTTCTTAAATAAAAATGTAGTTTTGTTCACTGTAATTCCATCCTTTGCCTCAAAGTACTGCACACAGTGGGTCTCTTAAAGATAGTAAAGAACATACTGGGGGATGATAAACAGTATTTACTTATCTGATATATCACAGTTCTGTACATCAGTAAAATGCTTTGGCCAAAATTGCAACACATAACCTGAATCACTAAGAGAGATAATCATCATGATCTGCTCTTGGTCTGTCTCCTATTGGAATACTAGAATCATTGTTATTTGAAGACTGAACTAAAAATGTTATTACTTATTCCTTATCAACCATACAGAGAACCGAAGGAAGCCCTAGTATTTAGTATCCACTGAAAATATGCTTGTAAACCCAGAATGTTTATCATTCATTAAAAGTTTTGAGGGTTTGCACCACTAAGTCATTTGAGTTTTTCGTCTAAAGAGACAGTTTTGAACATGAAGATGTGGTAAGTATATGAGGATCTTTAAAGAATTAAAAACAAATTAATCTCACATATGTGAGAGATTAATTTAAGAATGTGCCTGTACATTCAGTTATATAAACCCTAGTCAATGCACATTGTATGAGAACGGAAAAGTCATCATCATTTGAGTTTATCATAAGTTCCCCTTTCCTACTTTGTCAGATTTTTTTTCATTGTGGGGCATCTTATTTTATTTAAGATATACATCATGTATAAAAGGGAAAGGGGTTTGTTTTCAAACAACTTTATACTGGGTTTTTGTGTTATTGTTTTTTAGATTCCAGTCAAGAATACACTGATTCAACTGGCATAGATCTACATGAATTTTTAGTAAATACATTAAAAAACAATCCCAGGTAAAAATTAAATTTATAAGGTTTACATTGCTTCTGGCATACCATAATTTTGCTATATATGTTTTCATTATTAAGGTAGAGTATTAGAATAAGATTGTAGATACTTGATGTACACCAGAAACATTTTAGTGTCTTAACGTCTAAGATGATCTTGTTATGTGCACATGTATAAATATCTTTTTGCATTATGCATGTCATACTCTATGTAGGAATTTTGGGAAATATAAAATCACCAAGAAGTTTAGGTTCTAAAATGAGATTGAGAGAGCATTAACAGAGGGAAAATAAATATATATAACCTTCCCATAATGCACTCAACCAAAATAAGAGCTCATTGTGTTCGTTTATAATAAGGTTTTGAGTTTAGTTGAACATAGAATTTTTGTTCTTTCTTGCTGAGTTTATAAACTTTCCATCCAAAGCCTTTTGAGGCTCTTATTTGAGTCAGTATTTTGTGAAATCTTTTTCTTTTGCCAGGGAACCAGATGAGCAGTTTTTAACTTTCGGGTAGATCATCAACCCCTTCAAGGCCCACAAAAAGACCAGCCACAAAACATCTCACACTTACATGGAGTAAAAGATGATAAGGTTAAGAACCATTTTAGGTGTTTTCCAAAGTACATAGTTTTTCACACACAGTGAAACAAAAATAAAACATCACTAGTTATGAACACATGGAAGATAACATAAACAAAATTCTCTTTAGTCTCAGACTTATTCCTTGTTTAGCCTTATTTCAGAATAACTTTCGGTTTTTCATTCAGGGTTTGTTTTATTTGTGCTTGTATTTAGTACTCCAAATGGAGAGTCACCAAAATGACTCCTTCACAGTGGGCACTGAAAGATTATAAGTATGAAGTAAAAGAAGATTGGCAGCTCTACATGACGTATTTTCCCTGTGGATTCATTAGTCCATCGAACAGGCATTTACTGAGTGTCTGCCATAATGCCAAACATTTTCCTAAACATCGTAGATGCAAAGATGAAGAATCTGGGATGAAAGAATCTGGGAAGACTTTACTGAAAAAGTAATATCTACACCAGGCATAGTGGTGCATACCTGTAATCTCAGTGCTTTGGGAGGCTGAGGCATGTGGATCTTGAATTTAAGTCCATCTTGGGCAACTTAATAAGAGCTTGTCTCAAATTAAAAATGTATTGTTCATACAGAGAAGCATGGAAAGGGAATTTCAGATAAACAAGAGCATTGACAAGATTTAGTGGTATAAAAGAACTGTATTGCCAGGCATGGTGCCTCATGCCTGTAACTCCAGCACCTGGAAGGCTGAGGCAGGATTGCTGTGAGTTTGAGGGCAGCCTGGGCTACATAGTGGGTTCGGAGCCAGCCTAAACTACATAGGGAAAAATAATTGTCGCAAAAGAAAGAAAAGAACTGTTGTATCTAAGGAAAGACAGTTTTCCTGTATCCAAGGAACATTTTGCCCTTTGGCTCTGGCTTGGGGGCATGTAGTACATGATTCTAGAAAGTAGTGGAGAAAGTGTTCGTGAGATACAAAGCTCAAGTGCTTCCAGTTGTCCTCAACCTGAGATGGGACCAGTGTCCCAAGGTGGTGAGAAAAAGCTCTTCTGACTGTCGACTACTAGGAAATTGCGGACACTACAAAGATCTGTAAGACGGCGATGAAAAATTACCTTATTTGAAATGCCAACTGTGTACAAACCAGTAGAGAAATACTGCACATGGCCAGCTAAGTTGAGGTATAATTACAAAGTTTGAAAAAGAATAATATCATAGGATTTGTGTTTTTAGAAAGATCGCTTTGGTGAAGAAGGCCATAAGCAAGAAGGGTGGTTAGGAGACCTTAAAGAGTACAAACTTGTTTTTTGGGTTGTTTTGTTTTGATAGGTAATTGCCAGACAGGGTCTCACTATATAGTTCAGGCTAGCTTTAAACTCAATTATGTAGCCCACGTTGGCTTCAAATTTGCAGCAATCCTCCTGCCTCAGCCTCCAGAGTGCTGGGATTACAGGCATGCACTACCTTGCTGAGCTGGAAAGGACAAATTTGGAGGAGTATTTAGGAAATTACCGTTGAAAACTTGATATTTATTTGTATGTAGAAGGGTAATGAGTATAGCCCCTACGTTTCTGGCTGAGCTACTTGCTATCCCCTTAACAGCTAAAGTGAAAAGGGATCAAGAGTGAATGAAATGGGAAGTGCTGTGTTATAAATATATGCAGAAGTGCTTAACATAGAGCAAAGGAGATGGGCAACTGAATAGGTTGTTTTCATGTGAATGAGCTACTGATTTAGGAATCATCAGTAGAGATAAACTTTAGTATAAATGGGATGGCCCAAAGAGATTAGATAAATGACAGGGACAAAATTCTCCAAAAAGACACTTTTAAAAGGTAGATGTGAAGGGAAAGACTTGAGTCTTGTTAAAATTTTATTTATTTTGCGGGGAGACAGGTTCTCCCTTTGTAGTGCAGGCTTGCCTTGAACTCACTACCTAGTCCAGGACGGCCTCAAACTCCTGCCTCAGCCTCCCAAGTGCTGGGATTACAGGCATGTGCCACCACACCCAGCCCAAGATTTGAGTCTTAACGATAACAGAAGGATGAGAACATTTGTCCTAGAAGTCAATCAAGGGAAACAGTTTCACAAAGATAAAGTAACAGAAGCAGAGCAAAATAAGTATCAAAATCAATCCATTAGGTTGGGAAATTAGGAAATCATTGGCTGCCCTAACAAGCCTTTTCATTTGGATTAGGGTGGGAGATATTTGAAACAATGGGTGGGGGATAAGTGGAAAGGTGGGAAATACATAGTCTGCATGAAACAAGATCGTATCCTGAATAGGTAGAATTTTTTCCCCTCTTAACTGTGTGGAGAACATCCGCAGGGAGCAAAGATAGTGCATCCCAAATGAAATTTCTGTTGTACAGTTCTCACTTGCAAAAAGTTGTTATCTAAACGTGTTTTCAAAATGTATAATTTAATGATTTTTAGTATCGTCACAGATAAGTACAGCTATTGCCACAAAAAGTCTCAACTTTTTCATCACCCTGAAGGAAACCCAGTGCCATTTAGCTATTCCTGTGGTAATAGTGATAATAACAATAACAATAGATTATCCTGTTTTCTATTTCTGTAGATTTCCTTGTTCTGGACATTTCATATAATTGAAATTATGTGATATATGGTCTTTCATGACGTAGTTTTCTTCACTTAGCATAATACTTTCAAGGTGCATCCATATTATAGCATTACCAACTTTTTCTTCCATATATGCATGTTTGAGTAGATACACAAGTGAATTCGTTTAATGGTGAATATATGGTGTTATTAATGTCATTTGTGAGTTTAGAAAATTGCAGCTAACGTTAAATTTTGTCAGAAATATAGTTGGCTTAATAAATGGCTCTGTATTCAATCAATAAAACAGATGGCTAATTGCCAGATAAGCTGGCACACATTTAATGGTGAGTACAGCAAATTTCCATTGAAGTTTCTGGGATTCAGTATTGCCTGGAGAATTCTGCTAGATACTCAGCAGATTTATTTTTATTGGTACTAAAATTTAGTAAAATTTTCCTTTCATTTAGTAAATTTCAAATTTTTTCATAATTCTTTTTTCATCTTGTTTTCAGCCTAATTAATTTCATTTGTTAAATAATGAGTTGTGTGGAATTTGTGTATAAGAAATATTTTCTGCCAGGCATGGTGGTACACACCTATAATCCCCACACTGTCCAGGCTAAGGCAGGAGGGTCATTTCGAGTTTGAGGCTAAACTGGGCTACATAGTGAATCCAGGCCAGCTTGAACTACGTAGTGAGATCTTGTCTCGAAAAACCAAACAAAAAACATTTTTTCAAGGCATCTCTTAACTATAATTCTTACTGAATTAGAATGTAGAAACCTGAAGGAGTCACTGACAGAGATTATACTTACATTATTCTTGGCTTTTGTGTTAATTTTATAGCCATATTGTATAAGTTTCAAATGCAGAAACTAGGGGCTGGGGATTTAGCTCAGCAGCACAGCCCCTGCCTGGCAAGCACAAGGTCGTGAGTTCGATTCCTGGTACCAGGGGAAAAACAAAAATGTAGAAACTAAATATATTCACTATTCAGATATATATTATTATTCAGAATAATTCCAATGTCTGTATTCAAGTAATAGACAGGAATAAACCCATAGATTAATCTTGAGGATGGATATTTTTAACTAATCTGTTTGCTTTAAGAAATGTTGAACCAGGCGTGGTGGTGCACTCCTATAGTCCCAGCACTTGGGAGACTGAGGCAGGAGCTCAAGGCTAGCCTGGGCTACAAAGTGAGCTCAAGGCCAGACTGAACTGCATTGCGAGACCCTGTCTCAAAAAGACAAAAGAGGGGCTGGGGATTTAGCTTAGCGGCAAAAGCGCCTGCCTGGCAAGCGCAAGGTCGTGAGTTCGGTTCCCGGTACCGGAGAAAAACCAAAAAAAAAAAAAAAGATTTGATCAAAAAGACAAAAGAAAAAAAGGAGAAAGAAATATTATATAATTTGTCTGCATTTATATATCTAAAAATTACTTTCACTAGAAGTAAGTTCAAGTCACTTTATGTTTGTAGAGATGTGAACAGGGACATATGAAACATGGAGTAAGAGGTGTTGAGGTGGACGCAGTACTGTTTTCTGCTTTTTTGTTTTCTGTCAGTGGTATACCAACTGCCCACACTTTCTCTAAAGTAAGTTCCAGTATGCCGACTAGAATACTGAAAATTAGTACATTGTTATCTTGTTTTCATTTTAAGGAGTTTATCAGTTTGATTGAGATCCTTGTTTTTATTATTGTTTTAATGATACATTTAGCATATATTGGTTCATTTAAAGGGTTATACAATAGCAGTGTCAGTAAATATGCCTACTTGTAAGATGATTTTGATTTGTGTGCTAAATGTAAATGTACCTTAAGAAAAATAACTTGTGGGTGCATTAGTTCTGGTTCTATATGTATGCTCATAAATGTTTAGTAACTTCTAAGTTATGTCCATTATCAGAGTACTTAATTATAGTTTTGTAAATTTGGAATCTTGGACTAAACTACAATGAATAAAAGATATAAAAAAAGGTATAAAAAAATTATAAAAAGTATAAAATCTAATACCTTACAAAAGTTGCTAATTTTATTTTTCTAAGAAAGTCAGCTAAGAGAATATGGCCCAGATAATAGGAAATCCTCTGTAATCCATAGGTTTATATTTTAAGAGGAGAAAAACATGAATTTATAACAGTGGTTAGTTGAATTTTTAGATTTATTTTCTTGCACAGAAACAATTTTTTTCTAGTGGCAGTATATTCACACAGGAACATCTGCAATATATCTGCTGTTTAATTCAAGCACAGAAAATCAATTTAAATGCAGTTTTGTGAACTCAGTAAGATGACTGCTTCAGATTTTGTTATAATGAGTATAAAATACATCATAAAAATTTTTTCATCAAAAAATTTTTTTATCTCAAAATAAATTGATCCCAGAAGTTTAGATGAAAAGAAGGTCATATAGCTAGACAAATCAATCCTTTTGGGGGATGAAAATCTTAATAAAGTGAAAGTCCCCTATTATCCCCCAAAATTTTAAAATAAAAAAAGATTTAAAGACCTTCTGAATGAAATAATTTTATTGATGTATCCCATGCAAAATATATTTGTTGAGCCCTTCTATATATTTACAGTCTGTCTTGGTTGCTTTTCTCTTGTTGCTGAGACAAAATTCCCGACACCCAAAATGAAGGAAGGAAAGGTTTATTTAGCTTACAGTTTATGGAGGTTTCACTCCATACTTGGCTGGCTCCGAGGCAGAAGGTAGCAAAGCAACAAGAGCAAAGGGGGGAATGGCAGCCGAACAGCAAACATCTTACTGAGTTCAGCAAACAGCAATGGCAGAGCAAAAAAGGGTAGAATGGCAGCAAGCAGCTTCTTTCTTGCCTTACATCATAAACAGGCTACCCCCACCTAAGGGGCGTGTAGCTCTCACATAATCTTTGCCCTCCTCTTTCACAGGCTCAGGATGTATACAAAATAAGCACTCTGGCTTCCTGCTAAATTACTTAGCCAAACTTCTAGACTCCCCAAGTTGACACAACGTATCAACCATAACACAGTCCAAATAACTACATAATGATAATTGCAACACATGGTAAAATATGAAAGAAACAGATTTTAAGAAAAGAATATAAGAGGTGTTTTGAGCAAAAAAAGTGCTGTGTTCAAGAAACAGGGAAGGGATAGGCCAGAATAATAACTCATGTGAGTTAGGATCACATGATGAGTCTGGAAAGGTGGATGAAGACCTGCCTGTCCCTGCCTCCTAGTCCACATTACAGATGTTCAGTTCTGAAAGCAGTGGGAAACTCAGGACAGATTTAACCAAGGGAATGGTATGTGTTCACATGTGTTGTTAAAAGGTCATTATTCATATCACACGAAGTGTAAATTTGGATAGAATACGAAACGCCACAGGCAAACAGTATTTTACTGTTATAGTAGTTAAGCCAGGGATCCTAATTATTTGGCTCTAGGGTCTGACAGTGGAAAAGCAGGAGGTAGATAAAATTTGCAGTGGTGGTTAATTGAATAGGAGAATCAGAATGTTAACAGGCCTAAAATTTTCATGCTTCTAATAATGACACATCGAGTGGAAAGTGGTGCCACTTACTGAAGCAGAATACTAAAGTATAATAAGGTCTGAGAGAAAAATTGCATTCTGCTAGAATGTGTTATAAGTACTGTTTACAGCTTTAGGTTTGAAATCAACAGGTAGACATGGTTTTCACTTGACTTTTTAAAGTATAAAAATGTGATTAAATATGTTGAATAAATGATTGGGAAAAAGGTTTTACTCAGTTTTATGAAACTTCTTTTGCAATGTACAATGAAGATCAAGTTCAGGTGACCTGAGCAGGGGCTATTAATTCCTCTATTAAAGTTTGTGGAGATCAAGCCGAGTGTGGTGGCACACTCCTATAATCCCAGCACTTGGGAGGCTGAGGCAGGAGGATCATTGTGAGTTCAAGACCAGCCTGGGCTACAAAGTGAGCTCAAGGCCAGCCTGAACTGCATAATGAGACCCTGTCTCAAAAAGACCAAAAAAAAAAGCTAGTGAAGATCGTACCATTAACTGTTTATATTAGAGTGTCATTAACCCTTTGGTCTCATTTTCTTGATTTATAAAATTTGGAAGACAGAACTAAGTGATCTATAAAGCTACTTCTAGTTTTAAGGTTATATAGGAACTTTTTTTTAACCATGTGCATGAACTCTTCAGTGAGCATAAGGAAACACTAGAACTATGTTCTGGGTATATGAACAAGAAGGACCTTTGGGAAGTGGTATCCTTAATTTGTTACAGCCTGAGTACATTAAATAGTGCTCTGGTGATCTAATGGTACACATGGAGATACTCACTAGGTGCTGATTTGTTTAAATGTATACCTTGACTCACTTTGATTTTTGTGGGAAATTTTCTTAAAGCCTTTAAAATACATAATAGCAATGTATAAAATGTTTTGATGAAAAATTGAAAAGTTCTTTTCTGAGATATAGTAACGTAGTTCATACTTACATGCTATGGCCTCATTTATGTACTAGCGTTAGATTCCCATAGGAGAATCCCTATTCTTACTAGCATTACATATTCTTTAGGGTACAGTTTCTATGGAGTTCAGCATAATAACAAAGTCATGAGCCTAACTACAGATGTCTTTTCCTGCTACCTTTCAGGTTTGCAAATGAGGAAATAAAAGCTCATACTCTTGTTATCCATACAGAGAGAGTGCAAAGGCCAATATAGTAATACCAGATCAAAATGCATTTAAGAATTGCCATATGTTGCCAGACATGACAGCACATGTCTATAATCGCCTCAATTCAGGAGGCTGAGGCAAAAAGGTTGCAAGTTTGAGGCCAACCTGGGCAACTTACAGAGAGCCTATCTTGAAATAAAAAGGGGTGGGGAGTGTAGGTCAGTGGTAGAGTGATGCTGGATCCAATCCACAGTACCACATACACACAGAAAAAGAATGGTCACATGTTGATAATTTTTAAATTTTTGGCTAAGTACATTACAGTATCCATTCTAGATTAGTGCACTGTGAAAATTTTCATATAAAAAGTTAAACTGAAAAAAAGTCATCTTTTCAAAACAGAAGACGTGAATAACTTTAACATCAAGCTTGTAGTAGTTCTCAATGTTTAGTTTTCAGAAAATTAAGTGTATAAATTTATAACTTGTTGACATTATTACTTCAGTGTTAAGTTTTACATATAAGAGTCTTCATACTTTGTTTCAGGGACAGAATGATGCTGCTGAAATTGGAGCAAGAAATTTTAGATTTCATTGGTAATAATGAGTAAGTCCTGACATTTTAACAAGAAAAGAAATTGTCATCACAATTCTCCCTGACTTACTAAATTGGCTTTTCTTCTACTTGTAGGTCTCCACGTAAAAAATTCCCCCCAATGACATCTTACCATAGGATGCTATTGCACAGAGTAGCTGCTTACTTTGGATTAGACCACAACGTTGATCAGAGTGGAAAGTCTGTCATAGTAAACAAAACTAGCAATACAAGAATGTAAGTGTCAAGAGATACAGATACATGTTATATATGTGTATACTAATATTTATCTTCCTACAGCAACTTTCATCTGAGGTTTTCCCTCTATTTTAGCTGTCTCAAGTAAATTTGATGATAACTTTATGGAACAGACCAAAAAATGCATTTAGTTGTCTAGGAACAAAATGCACCAGCCTGTACTCAAATGAGGAAGGTGAATGAGGGCTGGGGTATGTGTTTTTTAAGAAATAAATGAACAAAAACCCTCAGATTACTGTAATACCAGCAATGAGTGACAACCACTGTCTCAGTGGAATTTTTTTTTTTAATGAATGCAACTCAGAGAACTGTGGCCATCCCTGGGTAAACTTGTGGGGTTTTTTTGTTTGTTTGTCTTTATTTTAATGGGCAGAATTTGTCTTTGACACCTCAAATCTGATTAATCTTCCTCTTCATTGTTCTTTTTGAAAGCCCATTTTGCTCCTTTTCTCCCACAAATCTTAGGAAGCTGAGACTGTTGGCTAATGCAGAATTAACCATACGTCTATGTCCTTTTCTTCCTTTTCTGTGCTATACGTAAGTTACTGGCAAATTTTTTAAATTTTAAAGGAGCCAGAACTCAGTGGTACAGTGCTTGCCTGGCAAGCGTGAGGTCATGAGTTCAATTCCTGGTACTAAAAATAAAAAAATAAAAAAATTTTTTTTTTAAATTTAAAAAGGGTTCTTTTTTCTTTAAAAAGTAATTGCTTGTAGTTTTGAAGTCATTCATCAGAATTTATATTTGGAAGCAGGAGGCCCAGTGCAGAGCCACCCGAGTTAAAACAGATGTGTAGCACTTCTTTTGTCTGTTCGTAAAGCTAATCCTAAAACAACCATTTGAGTTCACCTAAAATTTTAGGCTTGCATGGTGATTTGCCTGTCAGAAGGATTTTCTGTAGTGATTTCAGATGCGGCAGCATTGGACCTATGGTCATGAGCAGAAGTCAGCTTCAGATGCCATAAATAATTCTCTTCAGTCTGTTATTTTTCTGCGCTTCCTGACTTCAGACTTCTGTCAGGGTCTTGTCTGAGCTACCTGATCTGTATGATTAGATTTCATTTCTCTATATCCTTTCCTTTATAATGGCCTTTATCTTTATAGCTGCCATATTGCTTGCTGAAACTAGTTTTCTTCCATTTCAAGTAGTCAACTAAGAAGATAAATTTAGTATTTGTAAATGATTATTCCTACAACTAAAATTAATAAAAATAGTTTTGTTGGGAACAAAATCCTCTTTAGGATTACCTGAAAATGTGTCTGATTTTTCACCTAAAAATGTGAATCTAGTTTTTCATCTTAAACTTTTAAAAATATCTCAATCACTTACTTTTCCCAATTAGTTAAATAACTCAAAATACAAACTATACTGACAGTGAATAGAATTGTAATTCATTTAACCAGTGCCTTTCAACACTACTCAGAGCTGCTGGAGCCCCGAGCACATGTACATTAGCAGGCATTTTGACTAACATTTTGACTGATGACTCTCTAAGGTTTTCAATACAGTGTAACCTCAGTTATTTGAATTCAACAAGTAATATCAGAAAGTTCTAGAATTGTCTTTTTCAAGGTAATCAGTAGTTTAGCCAAGCAAAGGTATTTATGATGTACCTAAGAGAATTATGGGTTAATAACATAATTATAATTGAATATTTCAGATCATTGAAGTTACACTGTATTCTTACTTTATATCTTCTGGGATATCAAGAAGGTTGTAAATCAGAAAACCTTAGAGATCTGCTCCACGTTGAATAAAAACAAACTTACCTTTTCCTCATAGGGAGATTACCCGCTCCAGCCTTCAACCAGTGGTGTTGTGGATGTCAACAACCCAGTGTCCACTGGGGTGTCTCAATGGAGCGGGAAGTTGGCGATTGCAGGGCAGTAAATTCAGGCATCTATAAAAGAAAGAGGTAAGACAGTCTTAAGGTTAGCTGAAATGCCTGCCAATGCTATTTGGTGTGGGAATCCAGCTGCTCTTAGAAAGGTTGCCAGGTCCTTGGTTAAACCCTAGAGTGAGTTCACTTTGGAGTAGCAACCGCTCACCAAAGTACAAACTCCTTGAGTAAGAAAATGTGACTTTGAACACCTACACAAATATATAAGTAAATGAGCCAGTCATGTGACAAAAATAACATACTACTATTGTTAGAACTAAATAGATAATATTTCAAACCTCCACAGAAAGCAGTCTTCTCATCCTTTTGGTTATGAAGCTATTTGTATACTAATTCTTCTCCTTTACCTTTTATATAGCTTATGTAGATCCCAACTATTTCACTCATCCAAGCCTACTTTACAATTGAGATTTATTTTGCTTGCTCACATAATTTGCATTTTTAAATTGCCTTTTGCCTAATTTACAGAGTTAATTGTAGTACTTTATTTCAAATTCATGGGGGCTGGGGATTTAGCTCAGCGGCACAGTGCCTGCCTGGCAAGTGGGAGGTCGTGAGTTCGATTCCCGGTACTGGAAAAACAAACAAACAAAAAAAAAAACTAACAAAACAAATAAAATTCATTAGGTTAAACCAAATACTCAGCAGTGTTACTTGGGTCCTATATATAATGAAATATCTGGCCTTAGTTTGCCAAAAAATGTTTACTGGATTTATAATTAGCAGTTTACTTAGAGTTTTCACATGTACTGTGTGCCTATATTTGATATATATTTTTAAAATCTACTTTGGGATTCGGTTATATTTTCTTTATAGTTACTAATTTATATATATTAAGCATTTCAAAGGAATAATTCCAACTTTGTAATAAAATTACCTTAAGTCATAGAGTGTTGATTGAATTAATTTGTTGGAGGTGAACATGTTTTGAGGTGAAATTCAATGTACTATAATTTTCCTAGGGCCACAGTCATGTGTGTGCCTTCCAGGTCTCAATGGAACTTTGAGCATTTCTGAACTGAAAAGGCCAATCTGCTATAAAACCAATGTTGCTAAGAACGTACAGTCATTACTTTAGACTACAACACTAACATTCAAAGGAACTTAACATAAAGGAACTTATAAAGCTATACCCTGCTGTAATTAAGAATTTTAACTAAGTATTTATAGAAGTGTAATGTATATGTACAGTGCTGTGCTTTCTTCTTTGTCACAGCATTTTTAAAAATATTGAGAGGAAGCAATGCAGATAGGTTATATAGACTTCAAATCTAACATATGTGGACTTCCAGTATGACTCTTGTTCTCGTTCTCTGACCTTGCACTGTTTCTTGAGCCATTTCAACCTGTTTTCTCAATAGCAACAAATTTCTGCTGAGTGTTTACAGTTTTAAGTACTGTTCGTATATTTGTTCCATTTTCAGTACAACCCTGTGAGTTAGGTATGCTGTAATTCGCATTTTATAGATGAGGAAGCTACAGAATAGAGAGGTTGAATGACTTGTGCAAGTCAGTCATAAAGCCAAAACAGTGGTAAATTTGATGTGTGAACTCAAGTAGACCTGACTCTTGATTCCATGTTGTTGTTTTTTAATGGCCTTTCTTTTTTTTTTTTTTTTTTTTTGGTTTTTCTCCGGTACCGGGAACTGAACTCACGACCTTGCGCTTGCCAGGCAGGCGCTATTGCCGCTGAGCTAAACCCCCAGCCCCTATTTTTTTTCATTTTTTTTTTTCTTTTTTTTGTTTTTTTTCTGGTACCGGGAATCGAACTCATGACCTCACGCTTGCCAGGCAGGCGCTGTGCCGCTGAGCTAAATCCCCAGCCCCCTTTTAATGGCCTTTCAACCATATTGTGGGATAGTGTCTTTGATGAGATTTTGGTAAGGATTAGATGAGATAACATAAGTATCTCATAATGGCATTAATAGGCAGCATTTATTACTTTTTGTAAGATGTTGTTTTTAACTTTCTGTAAATGTTATACATTATCTTTTTTGTTTTCTAGACCTGATCAGAAATTTAATGAACATATTAAAGATGACAGAGGTGAAGATTTTCAGAAACGATATATCCTTAAAAGAGATAACTCTAGCTTTGACAAAGACGATAACCAGGTAATAAAGAGCAAATATAACATTTTTAAAGATGCAAAACTTACAGCATTTTCCCAAGTATTAACTTTTCTCTTTTCTTCAGATGAGAATACGATTGAAAGATGACAGAAGAAGCAAATCCATAGAAGAAAGGGAGGAAGAGTACCAGAGAGCTAGAGACAGAATATTTTCCCAAGATGTATGTAATAACTTGTTTGGGACTTCTTTTTAGGACACATTCTAGTTGCACTGTAGGACCTCAGTCCCTCTTTAATCTGTTGATCCCATTTATTTTTAGCCATACTTGTTAACACAAATTCACCTGTTAGAAATATTGAGATAAAATCTTTTCATGTTAGTAGTTTAAAGAATGCCACATTACAGGAGTAATGTAGAATTTTACAGCAGTTAAAAGCAGATGGACTCTAGAAGTTATTTAAATAATACTGGGCTGAGTATGTTTGTATAATTTTTTTTCCATACTTGTAACAGACTTGAGGTTTTTAGAGCATTGCTGTTTACCAGCAAAATGATATATTCTAAACCCTGCTTCTTTATTATAATGGACTTCTTTGAGAAATAATTTCTTTTTTTAAAGAAAAAAATTGGTTTGTTTTAATAGTAATTTTCAACTTTCTAAGTGATTATATGAGAGAGACCTCTAAATGACTAATGATGTTAGGGATATTTGCCAGAAGAAAATCATTTGTTTTACCAACATTTGTTAAGGACCTCTGTTTTGCACCTCTATGTATTAAGTACCTCAGTACTCTTTAAGGATATGTGAATGTGTATAATATATGCTAACACTGCTACAGAGAAATTTTCTCCTTTAAAAAACAAAAATAGCTACATTCAGACTATCAATTGAGAATTTATAATATATAACAAATCGTATTGAACACCTGTAGTAAATACTGTGCCAGGCACTAAACAATGTATCTGTAGAGTTAGGATTCACAAAACAGCCCTATGTGATCAATACTATTATTGTTTTTATTTTGTAGATGAAACTGAGGCTCTAAGGGGCTAAGCAGAATAGTCAGAGTTCACACAGGTAGGAAAAGGCAGAGTTAGGATTTCAGCAGCGATTATGGTGAACTCAGAGCCTATTCTAGATACAATTTTTCCTTACTAGTTTAAATCTTTTTTTTTTTTCTTTTTTTGATACTGGGAATCAAACTCAGGACCTCACACTTGCCACACAGGCGCTTGTGCCGCTAAGCTGTATCCCCAGCTTTACTAGTTTATAAGATAGTTGAGGTTTCTAGGTTTGATGGTCAAGAAATGACAATATGATACGTGGTTTGCATGGAGACATGAAGTTTATAATAGTGTACACAGCAGAAAAGCCCTTCATACTATGAAATATGCTAGAGAAGCACAAAAAACAAGAATTGAACCCTGGTGGAAGAGTTAGCTTCCAGGAGGAGCACTACAGAGTGAAGCATTCCAAGCAGAGAGACAGTATTTGCAGAGGCCCGGGATTAAGGAAGAACTTGACACATGAAAGATTCAGAGTTACCAGGATTATACCCTGGCTAGCATAGGAAGTAAGGAAAGTTTAGGAGAAATAACTAGGAACTGGATGACTTGGTCCTTAATGTTTAAGGGAGTTGGACTTCAGGCGTTTTTTGGTCAACAAACATTTTCTGTATAGAGCCGTATAGTAAATATTTTAAGCGTTTTTCAACCCTCTATCTTTATCACCTCTACTCAGTGTGACTTTCTATGTGACAGCAGCATAGACAATGCATAAATAAGTGGTTATGGCTGTGTTCCAGTATTTATTTGCTGAAACAGGTGGTTGACCATACTTGGTTGGCCCCTGGGTTAAAATACCTGGGAGCCAGGAAAGAAGGAAGAAGTGCAATCACTGATGTTTTAGAGACTTCTTTGGCTTCTGTTGTATGAAATGACCATAAAGGACAAAACATGGTAGCTGGAAGACTATTGAGAAGACTTAAATAGTAACATAAACAAAATGATCATTGCCTGCCTGAGGTTCGCAACACAGAAGAAATTGGACTACAAGCTCCATTAAGGCACAGATGCTTGTTTACTTCTATCTCCATAGCCAAACCACTGGCCAATACTATCATTTAATACAAAACTCAAATAGGTTAAGTAAATGATGTAGAATCTGCAAACTGATACAGACCTTGAATATATGATTATGAAAATAAGTTCACTTGTTTGTAAAAGAATATAGTATGTGAATTTCAAATTAATTTGAACCACAAATGACTTCCAGAAATATGATTGTAAAAGTAAATGTCTCCAAATCATAAAATTTTTATTATCCTTTATTTTTGGACCATTATCACCAATTTGAACCTTTTTGAAGATAGGAAATATTTTGTAAATATTACTACATAGGAATTTTGTTACCATTTATTTACAGATGGCGTTATGTATTTGACAAAAACTCAACTTTTTATATCTCTTCTTTCTTTCTTTCTAGTCCCTGTGTTCTCAAGAGAATTATATTATTGACAAAAGGTGAGGGAATTTTTAACAACTATTTTGGTAACTGCTGACTGGTGCTAATAAAAATTAAAATATCTTATTAAAATGCCAACAGAATCCAAGATGAGGATGCTAGTAGTACCCAGCAGAGGCGCCAGATATTTAGGTATTAGAAGCATGTTTTCAATGCAGTATTGAAAAATTAAAGCATTTTTTTGCTCTCTCTTTTCCTGCTGTTGGCTTTTCAAAGTTTTATTTCTGAATTACAGAGTTAACAAAGATGCTTCAGGAAGATCAACAAATAGTCATCAAAGCAGCACTGAGAATGAGCTGAAATACTCTGAACCTCGACCATGGAGCAGCACAGATTCAGATAGCTCCCTGAGAAATTTGAAGCCTGCTGTAACCAAAGCCAGCAGTTTTAGTGGAATCTCAGTCCTGACAAGAGGTGATAGTTCTGGAAGCAGCAAAAGCATAGGCAGGCTTTCTAAAACAGGTACAGATATCTACCTGGAATGAAACTAGTGTGCTTAGTGTTGTTTTAGCTTGTTATTGTGTGACCTTATCATGTTACTCTGAAATATAAAATTCCTACCTACAGTACATTGACCCCCCTCCAAAGTCCTTAAAGGGTAAATCTTCACTAACATTAAGATACATTCTCTGTCCTGGAGATAGATCTACAAACATTAATTAAAGTAAATTTTTTCTCTGAAGAGACATAGATTTAATCAAATAGATCCAGTGACTTTTCATCTTTAGTTTGAGAGCCCAGAGATCATTGGAAATTCTCTGTTGCTTATCTATGATAAGAAAGCATGGCTTCTCACCTGGGAGTATTTAATATTCATTGCATTTTCTGCTAGTACTATCAATTATTTGTTGCATTTTCGTAATAAAGCCCTCTGTTTCCATATCCAAAAAATGAATAAAATTGCCAAGAAGTTTCTGAGGAATTAACCAGTGAAAAACAGTATGAGGTGTAACTATTATAAATTTTAATAATCTCACTCTCAACTGCTCTTCATTTAGAATACATTGGCTCATAGTATCTTCCCTTCACTTTTATTAACTTCAGTATTAAAGAAGTTCATATGTCTTTTTGGCCTCTTGTAGATCTTTATTTTTATCCTCAGATAAACCTGAAAGTTAGGAATGGCTATTTTTAGAGTAACCATGCAGCTAAGACTTCAGTGCTTTAAATTGTTAGGGCTTGTATCTTTTTAATTTAAAATATGGACATATTGGGAATATTTTAGTGATTATGTTAGGATAACATTAAAAACTATGTTTAAGATGGCCACAGTGACATGCATCAAACTTGCAATCTTCCTGGCTAGCCACTGGGGGTGCTTAGGCAGGAAGATTGGAAGTTTGAGGTCAGCCTGAGCAACTTAGCAAGACCCCATCTCAAAATAAAAAGGGCTGGGGCATTAGTTCAGTGGTAGACTGTCCCTGGGTTTAATCCCCAGTACAACAAAACCTGTATGTGTAGCATATAGGTATTCATTTGAAAAATGGCTACTAGGTCATAACAGAAAAAAAATCTATTCTTTTATGATGAGAAAGTTGTTCAGACATACTGTCAAATCAGAACATTTAAGAACATGTGCGCCAGACGTGTGGCACACACCTGTAATCCCAGCACTTGGGAGGGTGAGGCAGGAGGATTGTTGCGAGTTCAAGGCTAGCCTGCACTACAAAGTGAGCTTAAGGCCAACCTGAAAAGACAAAAAAAAGAAAAGAGCATGTGCTATTTATAGCCTATACTATCTTCTGAGATGGAAATATTGCTTAATCTTTTTTTTTATTTTAAAGAGTAAAAGAAGGATAACATAATAATAGGAGGGGCTTACCAAATTACAGACAAAGTGGTAGGAACTTATCAATGGTTATTGTTTTACATATTGTTATCTATAAGATAGTTTCTCAGGAAAACAAATAGACAAATGATAGTGAGTTAAAGACAAAAGAGGTAGGAGATTATCAATAGTTGTTGTACTATACTTAGGTATCTTCAAAGTGGCTTCTAAAGAATATAAATAGAACTATACATGAGTGACCTACTGAATAATCATTCAATAATTCTCAATGGTTGTTGTAGGAAACACATAATAATAAACATGGATCCATTTATGAAATAGGATAGGAACAATACAAACATTACAGAGTTATGGATAGATTAGTAGGAAAATATCAATTACTGCTGTAATACATGGTGGTATCTTCAAAGTGGTTTCTCAGGAAGACAGAGATACACAAGAAGGATCTAACAAGCAGTTACAGCCTAAGGGTTGTCAAAAATCAAGTGAGTCGTCTGGGGCGAAAGCCATTTTTTGTAGCATTTTCTCTCCAGCCTCCCATCGCATTGGGACCCCACAAAATCTTTCTTTTTATAGGGAGCAGTATTTCTTTAAAAATTCTCAGATTACAAGGGCTGGGGGTATAGCTCAACAGCACAGCGCCTGCCTGGCAAGCATAAGGTCCTGAGTTCGATTCCCGATACCAAAAAAAAAAAAATTTGAAAAATTCTCAGATTACAGTCATATTGGTACTGCTAACACTTTATGCTTCTACCTTCCTAAGTATAGAAGCAGTTTGTTTAGCAATTCCTCTTATCCCAGATCCTTAAACTCAATATTGTAGGTACAGAGTATAAGCAGATATGGAATATGCTCCAACAGATAAGCAATATCATAACCCTGTTTTTCTCAAAAAATACTACATAGATTTTCTTTCCTGTGTAATCAAATACTCACTGGCCACATTTTTAACAATTAGTTGACATTAAATGCATTTATTATGTTACAAGTCCACCTAAGCTTTCCTTTAGGTATTTCACAATATATCCAAGAGAAAAACAGCTGCTTCAGGTTCATTTAGGGGTGTTAACCTGTAAGTATATCAACTCCATTTTTAAAGCTTGACTAACCATAGTATTGTTGGGCTTTCTGAAGGAAAAGGACAGGAGAAGAAACTAAATTGCAATAAACTTCTTTAGGTCAGTTAAAGGCCATTATCTTAGCTGGGATATTTAAAAATACTGGATGTCACCAGCTCACATATTATAAGTAGGGAATGACTCTGACAGATCGGTAACATTTGTAAGATGAGACATATGAAATACTCGTGTTTTCTTCCCATTGTCCAATCTCCATTCTTTGCAGTTTTTTAGATTTTCAGTGTGGTGGCTCAGGAAATGTTCTTGGTAGACTTGAAAGCAGAGCGCAAAGCTTGTGTTTTCTGTCACTTGACTTTAAAAGGAAGTTTGATTTATATTTGTCCTCAGATGTCAAAGTCTCATTTCCAGATAAGTTAATGGCAAAATTACAGAGTATTTGTACACACTTGATAATCATAAATTTTCATTTGAAAATGTAAAAGTACATTAGCAGTCTTGAGTGCCAAGAGAAATTCTTGAAAGGAAGATGATTGATGAATGAGTCTGTCGGGTATTAATCCTAGTGAAAATGTATAAAAGGCCATACTGGCTTCTTTGGTATCAGTTTCCTAATCCAAATCCAAACTTAAAAGGAATGTTCAGCATTAAGCACCTTTACCTTCGTGGATAAGTTTCAGCTTGCTCTTGCCAAGAGAAGAGTGCTTGAGTTACAGAAAGCATAATTAGCGTGAAGAATTCAGCCTTTTTGTAAACTTTAAGATATAAAAATAGATTTTAGCTGGGTGTGGTGATGCACGCCTGTATTTCTAGCACTTGGGAGGCTGAGGCAGGAGGATCATTGCAAGTTCAAGGCTAGCGTGGGGTACAAAGTGAGCTCAAGGCCAACCTGAACTGCATAGTGAGACCCTGTCTCAAAAAAAAAAAAAAAAAAAATTGGTTCTGATACATAAATGAGTTTTCTACGATGACACAGCCTCTATTTCTGTAACTATTTAAACTGGACTATCTAAGCAGTCCTGTGAATGTTTCCCAAACTTGGCTAATGAAAACCAAAGAGTTGCCTCACAATTAAGTACATGTTATTTAAAGACAGAAGGAAAATACTCAAGTTTTAATTGAATGTGTACACTCCCTACCGTTCCAGAATGTGTTTTTCCACACTTGTCAGTGAATTAGAGTCTTAGTGTTTATAAAGAACAATTTGTAGTTGTCCTTCCAACGGGTATTAAATAATCTCATCCATTTACAGAAGGGAAGATGTTAAAGAGGTAGAACTAGAGCATTACTAATTCATATGTCTTTGAGTCAGTAAGGAGTAGTGTCCAATGTTGAGTCAGTTATTTTGACAAAAGGTAAAAATAATCTTTGAGATAAATCAGTAATTCTCTTAACTAGAAGACTATGGATACATCCATCATACTTTTCAGGATAGATGGTTTTCACTGTGGGGCAAAGAGATTAAAATTATACTATGTGATAATTTGTATTTAGGTCTAAAAAAGAGAATCCGGAGCCCAGTGTGGTAGCACATGCCTGTAATCACGGCACTTGGGAGGCTGAGGCAGGATGATCACCACACGTTGGAGGCCAGCCTGGGCTACTTAGTGAGTTTAAGGCCAGCCTAAATTACAGGGTGAGACCCTGTCTCACAAAATAAAAATGAGAATCTATAGAGAAATCTATGCAATATATAATTTGTCTAAATTATGTTTCATTTGGGGAAATGAGTTCTAAAATAGCTCCAAAGCAGTTTATTCATCATTTGAAAGCCTGTCAGAAAGAGAACCACTAGGAAGCTATGGTTTGTGGTTGTGGAAAAGAAAAGCTCCCTCAGCTTTAGGAAGGAGTAACTTTAAAAATATTCAAATGGCTAAGTGTACTTGGTACAGGTAAAAATTAAGCTTCTCAGTTTTAACATTCCAGTTACATTTGGCATAAACTCATGTGATGTTGTGGTAAAAAAAGAAAAATTATTAGGATCAAGTGATAGAATTCTTAAGAGTTTTTGTGAAGAGTGATTTTGACACAATTTAAAATAGAGGCTGTCCTTCAGAAGGCAATCTGTATAGTATATTATAGTATATTATGTCCTTCAGAAGGCAATCTGTAGAGTACATTGTAGTTGTTCATTTCGGTCCTTTAAAACTGTCCATCCCATTGCCAGGCCTAGTGGCACACACATCGTCAGCCCAACAGTCCTGTGGTGAGGCAGGAGAATGCCATTAGTTCCAGGCCAGCCTGAACTACATAGCAAGGCCCTGTCTCAAAAAACCAAAACCTGTCCACTCCAGAGTGAGCTCCCTTCTTCAAAACCCAGTTAACTATGTGCATTGTGCAAGTATTTTCCATTCTTTTATTGTCTCATTGTCCACCTATACCTATTACACTGAAAGTCAATGGCATTTTTAGTCTCCATATAATAGAAAATGAAATAAATTACTGGCATAAAAGTAGTCACAATTCAATTACCAAATTAGTTCATTAAGTTTAGTGAGAAATAAATTTTAAGCCAGGTATGGTGGTGCACGCCTGTAATCCCAGCACTCGGGAGGCTGAGGCAGGAGGACTGTTGCAAGTTTGAGACCAGCCTGGGCTACAAAGTAAGCTCAAGGCCAGCCTGAACTGCATAGGAGACCCTGTCTCAAAAAGACAAAAAAGAAGGAAGGAAGGAAGGAAGGAAGGGGGAAGGAAGGAAGGAAGGAAGGGAGGAAGGGAGGAAGGGAGAAGGAAGGAAGGAAGGAAGGAAGGAAGGAAGGAAGGAAGGAAGGAAAAATTTTAAATTGATGGCAGTATAAATACTTGGAATATTTTTCTTGTTATCTCTGTTACTTGATTAAAAAAATTGGAAGTTGAGTTTACATTGTGGAAGGTGCTGTGACTGAGCTGAGAAATGAAGTTCTGCAGTGAAATGACAACTTTATCATTTTTCATTTCTGTTATTTCCTACACTATTCTTACTCTTTCTGTGTTCTTATAGATGAGGGGTTTCTGATGTAAGAGGTTTTGGACATTTGCCATACTAAATTACTTTTCCTGGGGGAAAATTGTAATCTATATAATCCTAGGTGTTAATCTGAAAGGTAAAATGTATGTAACTTGTACTTTGGGAATGTGCTTTTTGTGGCTGTCTGCGGCTGTTTTTATTATAAATTTGCCTAAGTTGCATGCTTTGGCTTGGACTTTTTTGACAATTATGGACCAGCTTGCTATATTAAACATGTTCGTGTTGGGGATAAGCAGAATTGAACAGTAAATCGGAAAGAGCAGTTGCTTTCATGTGGTAACTGCATGTTACGCAATGTGAATTTTACTGTTATATATTAAAGCCTGTATTTTTATGTGAGGTTTTAAAAGTCCGTATTTGTCATTACTTTTTCCCTAGGTTCCGAGTCTTCTGGCAGTGTAGGGTCGTCTACGGGCTCGCTCTCTCACATCCAGCAGCCTCTCCCGGGCGCAGCTCTCAGCCAGTCCGCTCATGGCGCACCTGTCGTCTTTCCAGCCGTCAGCACCCAGAGTTCTCTCTCCTTCGATGGTGGCCTGAATGGGCAAGTCACATCTCCTAGCGCTAGCTTCTTCTTGCTTCCTTTGGAAGCGGCAGGCATACCACCTGGCAGTATTCTGATCAACCCACAAACAGGTTGGTATCCAGGGAAAAAAATGTTTACTTCTTTTTTTGTTTTTGTTTTTTTTCCCCCCAGTACCAGGAATCGAACTCACTACCTTGCACTTGCCAGGCAGGCACTGTACCACTGAGCTAAATCCCCAGCCCCAAAAAAGTGTTTATTTCAGTTGAGGTATCAAGAATGATCTAGGGGCTGGGGATTTAGCTCAGCGGCAAAAGCGCCTGCCTGGCAAGCACAAGGTTGTGAGTTTGGTTCCCGGTACCAGAGAAAAAAAAAAAAAAAAAAAAGAATGATCTAAAAATTAAAAGGTACTTTGTAATGTATTGTTCATACACGTTAGCGTTTAATTTTTCATAAATAGCATTTTCTTAAGAACTTTAATAAATCACTTATACTAAAAATGTTAACAATCGTTTATATCAGAATGCATTTTTCCCTTTTGACATATTTTAAGCTAAATAATGGCCAGTAAGTAAAGAACAATTAATTTCTTAGAAATAAGACAACTGCCTTTTATTTGGTAAAACAATTTTATTCTAGGGGAAACTGCATTTTCTGAAGAAGAAACAAGCAACTCTTAATCATGATATACTGAGTGGGAAAATCTATACATAATTAGTTGCCCTTCAGAATGTGGTCATTGTCTTTTTACTGAAGTAAAGTTGAAAAGACATTATTTGTTTTTAAAAAATGAGTAGAGTTGGGCATGGTGGTGGCACGCCTGTAATCCCAGTAATCTGGAGGCTGAGACAGTAGGATCACCATGAGTTTGAGGCCAGCCTGGACTACATAGTGAGTTCAAGGTCAGCCTGAACTAAAAAAGTGAGGCTCTATCTCAAAAAAAAAACAAAGGAAAAAGAATAGTCATTATGAACTAATATTGGTAGTGCATGTTCCTGTTCTTTGCAGTTAACTAGTAATAATTTACATCTGTGCAGCATTTATATTGTACCATATAATGCACTGTTAGGTGCTTTCTATATAATCGTTAACCCACTCTGTTAGGTAGATCAGTTCTCCATTTACAGTTAAAGAAACTGAACCTCAGAAAGGTGAAGAAATGACACTTGTAATATATCTCACTGTGTACATCTACAAAAGTTTTTTTTTAGAGAACATGAGCTTTCAAAAAGATCATAGGAAGCCATGGTTTTTGTTCAAAATAACAGCCCAATTATTTGTGAAGGTAGTGAAAACAGTCTTAGAGCTAATCTCTTTAAAAGTCAGGGGGCTGGGGGTTTAGCTCAACGGCACAGCACCTGCCCAGCAAGCGCAAGGTCATGAGTTTGATTCCTGCTACCGGAAAAAAACCAAAAGAATAAAAAAATAAAAATAAAAGTCAGGGACTAAGCTGATGTAGTGACATCATAATGGCAGTAGTTAGGCCAGAAGATAGAGATGGAAGTGTCAGGTCCTTTGAGTGTCCGTGGCCCTTTTGTTTGGAGTTGAGAAAACCACAGGTTCAAACTCATTACTTTCATAATTTATTCATATTTCAAGATAAGGTATTCAAACAGTTTATAAGTATTGAATTAATTTAAATTGATTTCTTTTCAGAAAATTATAACACTTTTGCATAAATGGTTATGTTCTTACCCCTTACATATTTTGTATTACTAAACTGTTTCTTCTGGACTAAATATAAGATTATTTAATAATTTGCTATTTCCTGTCACTTTTCATTCAGAACATCTAAGTTAATGTAGTTTTAGTAACAAAGGGTTAATTCCTTATGAAGTGATAGAATGAAAAACTGACCAATCTGAAATTGAATTTTGTTTGTTTGTTTTGTTTTGTTTTGTTTTTTTCCCGGTACCAGGAATCAAACTCATGACTTTGCGCTTACTGGGCGGGCGCTGTGCCGCTGAGCTAAATCCCCAGCCCCCTGAATTGTATTTTAAATGAGCCAAAAGAAAACAGTGCTACAGCAGATCCCAACTTTTTTTAACAAATAGTCCTCAGTTAAATTACTTTGACTCTTTTTTTTTTTTTTTGGAAAGAAGGTCTCACTATATAGTGCAAGCTGGCCTTAAACTCGTTTACATAGCCAGGCTTGGCCTTGAACACACAGCAATCCTCCTGCCTCAGCCTTCCAAGTGCTAGAATTACAGGCATGTGCCACCATACCTGGCAGAACGTGCTTTCACCCAAATCTGATCTACTAATTGTTTTCCAAATTATTTAGCAATCAAAATACCTATTATGACTTGTTTTTAATTATCTGTAACCATTAATTAATTATCAGGACGCTGATGAAAGTAATTTACTTAGACTTTTTCTGCTTCATAGCAAGAGATTCATGTAATCTTCCCTCCCAGATATTACCTCACTATATGTCTTGAATTTTGTCATAAAAAGGAAATAAATGAAATGGAGAACAATTTACCATGGAAGAATGGACGCTTGGAAAGCAATTGAAGAAAATATTATTTAGTCACATTTCTTCATTTCCTCTGTATTTTTCATACTCTGAATGAGTGTTAGACTCCGTGAAAAGTTTGCTTCACAGATTCTTTTCTAAAGTATTGCACTTATTTTATAATACTTACCTCCTTCACCACTGTTGTAATCAGTGTGCAGTAAGAAAGCTTAAAAAATCAGTATGAAGGGCCGGGGATATAGCTCAGTGGTATGAGCACCTGCCTAGCAAGCACAAGGTCCTGAGTTCATTTCCCGGTACCAAAAAAAATCAATATGTAAATTCTATGTAGTTTTCTCACCAGTGAATAGTTTACTATAATTAAAAAGAAATTATTTTAGAACATTTGCAATTAAAAATTATTTACAATGATGAACAATTTTTTTAAAATTTAACAATTAAAAATTGTGAAATTGTTGATCTCACAATTTTAAGCTGTCATTTTCTTTTTCATCCTATATTAATTTTTTAATGAAATATATGCAATGTGACCTATAAATTATATATTTCCCACCCTCTAATAAAAACTAATGAATGACTTTCCAGTGACCTGAAGTCAGACATTTTTATCTTTTTATCTTTTTTTTTTTTTTTTAAGAGGGGCTAGGCATTTTTATATTTAAATTGAAATGTGTTCTAGCCATATAGGACCACAGTCCTGTATCTGAATCTCTTGGATAAAACATGTTTCATAATTCAGATTTTTTTTTTTTTTTCTTTTTGAGACAGGGTCTTGCTACGCAGTTCAGGCTGAACTTGACCTCACTTTGTAACCCAGGCTGGTGTCGAACATGCAGCGATCCTCCTGCCTCAGGCACCACGCCTGGCCATAATTCAGATTTTTTAGAAAAGATTGTGAAAAGCCAGGTGTGGTGGTGCACACCTGTAATCCCAGCATTTGGGAGGCTGAGGCAGGAGGATTGCCATATGTTCAAGGCCAGCCTGGGCTACAGAAAAGAGTTCAAGGCCAGCCTTCACTACATAATGAGACCTTGCCTCAAAAAAAAAAAAAAAAAAATGCAGTATAAAGTACATCCACATGCTGGGAAATAATGTAACTCAGCAGCACAGCGCCTGCATGGCAAGTACAAGGTCCTGAGTTCAATTCCCGGTTCCAAACAAATATATATATATATATCCAGAATGTTCTAGGACAGCACCCTGTCATAAAACACAGCAGTAAAACATTTAAATATTTACAATAAGGGGGCAAAACAAAGATTATTAGTAGCTTCATGTCAGATTAGTCCTTTTCCCAAGCTAAGAATCTATTGATTTTAAAGAACATTGGGCCAGGTGTGGTGGCACATTCCTGTAATCCCAGCACTTGGGAGGCTGAGGCAGGAGGATGGTTGCGAGTTTGAGACCAGCCTGGGCTACAAAGTGAGTTCAAGGCCAGCCTGAACTACATAGTGAGACCCTGTCTCAAAAAGACAAAAAACAAACAAACAAACAAAAAGAGAACATTGAGAGTTTTGAAATTGTGGGTCAGGCATATGTGGGCATATTTTATAAATTGTTAGTAGAATGAGTTACTTTGAATCTGTTGTAAATTGTTACTGTCTTCCATTTTTAATCTTTCAGGTCAGCCCTTCATAAACCCAGATGGGAGTCCAGTCGTGTATAATCCTCCTATGACTCAACAGCCCGTTAGAACCCAAGTGCCTGGACCTCCACAGCCACCTCTGCAACTCCCACCACCTCAGCAACCAGCAGCTAATCACATTTTCTCACAGGTACCCGTATCCATAGTTACATAATATTAAGTTCACCTGCCTTTGCATATCTGGGCCTAAATTCACTAATTAGAGCTGAGATAGCCCAAGTAAGTATCTCTTAGAATTTTAATATTCTACCTTCAATGATGTCCCACTTAGAACTCATAAGAAGAAGGGGTTGTTTCAAGGGCTTTCAGCTAGTATGGAAAATATATTGGAAAAAAGAAATGGTTTCATCTCATGGTCTTAACTGATTTTTAATCCCTATTTTATACCAAGAAATGTACAAAAAGAAGAACAAACACAAAACAGTACAAACTGTTCTTTGCTCAGGAAGCAAAGTGAATTATTTTAAGATTTAACAGATCAAGCGGTTAGAAGAAACTGAGGTAATTTGCTCACGTTCTGCAAGGCGTCATTCCGTCTGCCCTACGAGAGACACAAATTCCAAGTTAGAGCTCCCAGAAGGAGTCTTAATAATACCTTGACTATAAATATTTAGAGGTTACACATACATTTCACACTGTCTTTTCTCCTTAACCTGTGTCATCCATCGTTTGAGCACTTGACTATATTAATATAAACTTCTTAATTTTCGTTCTAACATTTAGAGCCTGTGTAACATATCAGTTTATGCAAATAGTTGCATGCAAATAGTTGCAAATCTTTTCCCTGTAAGACCATCTAAATATTCAACTAATGAGGACATGCAGAGTAATTTCTTAGGATAGAAACTTGCTGATGAGCTGAATAAATTCCATTATTCATTAGTTTTACTCAAGAGAAATATCATTCGTAATTGTGGAGATAAAGAACATACCCTGAACAAGGAGTTTAATTATGTTACCAAATAGTGTGAATGTCATGAAAATAATGGACTTTTGGCAGTTAAGGCTCCTAATTAAGATCCCCCAGCAAGGCTGTTTTGTTTTGTTTTGTTTTGCTTTGTTTTGTTTTAAGTAGGACTTAAATGTTTTGAGGCCCAATGAAGACCATAGAAAGTAAATTCGTACATGTAGAGGAGGTTGCCTAAAGCTTTTCCAAAGCATCCCATGTCTCCTTCCCAATCTCGGTTGGTTACATAGACTCAAACTACATAAACCTTTTCACTGGACTTTTCTACCTTAGCTTCATTCAGCTTGATCTAAGAGAGTTTCCTCTTTATAAAAAGCTGTAATTCAAAGTTTTGAAGCATACATCAAACTCCATAACTAATTTTTCTGGCATTATTTAAGTATTACAGGTAATTTCATCATCAGATGAAGAAACAAACTCAATTTGCAAATTACAGTATCTTTTACATGCTTTAAGATGATTTTTTCATGGAATTTCAAATAACCAAACAAAATAATGCTATGAAATGCAGAGCTTTCAGATGAGCTACATGTCTTGAACATTCAACATAAAATCTATCACTTTAGATGAACATTGTTTCACAGCCAGTTGCAGTTCAAGTAGGTAAAGGAACTACTGTGATTTTTTCTTCTCTAAATGGTGCCAGAATTTCACTTTGGTCCACCGGTGATTTAGCCCACAGTTTTCTCTATAGCATTTGACATTCAAGGAGACATTAACTCATACCCTGATTGTTCATAGTACCCTTTTTTTTAATCCCACATCAGACCATAGTTTTGTTTCATCTGAGACTTACAGAGGAGGGCAGGCTTTCTGAAGGATGATTATGTCCTAATGGTTATCTGACTTACTAACACGTTAAGTAGCCTGTACTTCAAAGTTCTAAAGCCAGTGCAGCTCATTAGTGTAATCTACATTGTCACTCTCTAGGAAAATTGCTCATTTTTAGTTGGGAGGTTTGTGAGGAACCAGAGGCTACTCTACGGATTGTTTAGCTTCTCCTTTTTTTAAAAAATTGTGTGTGTGTGTGTGTGTGTGTGTGTGTGTGTGTGTGTG